ACTTTTTTTAATGCTTAAAACCCTATATCACCAACCAAAATTTTCAATCACCTACCACTTTCTGTTCAGTTGCTCATTACCCAGGTTGAGAAATCCTGCTCTAGAATCTCAGTGGTTTAATTGACTCTCTCAGGGTGGAATGTTAATAAAAAGTGAGGAAAAAAAAAAAGAACACACACACTAGCAAGGAGCAGACTTGATATAAATGGTACAAGAGTACACTAACTACAAATTCTCATATACAAATCAGTTTCAGATCATTATACCTTGTTACTAGATTCTGGTAGGAAGGTCAAGAGGGTGGGTCTGGACTAAAGCAACTCCTTACTTAAAAATCTACTCATGTACACAATTCTAGTGAACCTTCCTCTTTTGGAATGGATAACGTTTACATCAAGTCCTTCATCCAATCCCAACCCTCTCTTTTCAGCCTCAATAGAGTTCAAAAAAGTTTATGCAACCATGTAGGATATAAATTATTTCTCAAGCTACACCTCTTTTTTCCACCAACACAATGTTGTAACTGTATTGCTGTTTCCATGGAAAATGTTCTGACAAAAGTATATTCCCTAGTTCAGACCTTTACAACTAAGATGCACCATGGGATGGACACAGTGGCAAACCATCCTCATTCCCTTCATATTCTATTGGTAAGAAGACAGCTCCTTCTCAATAACTGCTACTTTATGGAACATCCTCCCAATATGATGCTTCCTTCGACCATTATAATGTTAATCTCTTCACATCTGGGGTTTAACTGTTATCTATCCTACAAATCTTCATAATTTACAAGGGGCTACCAGGCCTTGTATTAGGTGAACAATTGCAAAAAAAAAAAAAAAAAAAAAAAAAAAATTAATAAATTGATAGAGCTAGAGTGGTGCAATTTTTAAGACTCAACTCAATTATTAGACACAGTTTTATTCAGACTTTTTATCTTGGTCATTAATTATGTGTCAATTATCTGAATTTTCACTTTTTTCCAATCTATCAATTATTCCAGCAATATCTCTTGTTGATTTTCTGATATTTAAAGTCATCTCACAATCTCAGAAATAAACAAACAAATGTTTCCACTTTTTATTTTTTTATTCCCAGTTTCATTAGTAAAAAGAAAGCAAAAAACATTTTTTTTTTTTAAAATTCACTTCAATTTTTTTTTTTTTTTTTTTAATTTGCCACATTCAATGTTTAACATAGATTTACTAAAAGATTGTTTCTTGTTTCATTAAAATTTAACTCTTAACGTTTTTTTTTTTTGTTGTTTTTTTTCCACATACACACTAATCTTATCACATTTATATAATTTCTTTTTCCATATATTATACAAAATTTAACAAATTCCTAAAGAAAATAATGATAGGGGAAAAAAATGAAAAGAAAACCCGTTCCCCACCAAATAGATGAAAAAAAATAAAATAAAAAAAAACTAATAGGAAACATTAAAAAAAATAATTAAGCGGAAACGACAAACTTAAAATTTTCATTTGGTGAATTTCTAAAATAACCGAACATGTATAGGCCAAATTTCATGGATTCAACCAAAAGAGAGAGGGAAACTAACAAGGTAATGACTTCTAATTAGGTTACCTGAGAGAGAATGTTTGATGTTTTAAGAGGCCAAAAAAAAAAAAATTCCATTGACACCAGAAATAAACATCACTGATGAAGCTTCCCAGTTCAATGCAAAGGTGTTTGAAATTTTTATATAACTCTTAAATTACCTAAATTTCTGAGATGAAGCATGTTCAGTTTTAATTTATTACTACTTCTTGTGTTGCTTTTTATTTTACCTTTTAAAATCCCAACATTAAATTCATTGCAAAGTAAATAGCATGGATCAGAAATAAAGTATTTTTGACTTTGCTTTCTATTGGCTTTCTGTGGCTCAACTTGTAAGGCATCACCCATGTAAGACAAACTCCCAAAAAGATAAGAGGCAAGTTCAAATTTTACCGAAAAGTATGTCACTATTTCTAATCCATTGTTTACTTAACAGTAATTAAGCAGAAAAAACTAAAGTATTGCCATAAATTTTTTTTTTAAAATAAAAGAAAAAACTTGTAGCAAACTGATACTGAAATGTTTTAAAAATCCTTTTTCACATATTTCCTTTACATTTCCCAAGGTGATAAAATGGTTGATAAGAAATCACCAAATAAAGTATGTAACATGGAATTTGTGGAAGCCATTTGGATGTTTAACTTCTTTATTTTATTTTGTTTCATCATCTCGTTTTGTCTGAGTATTTTCCAAACAACTTAAAATATATTCTACAAAAAAAAAAAAAAAAAATATATATATAAATAATAATTACTTTGTTTCTAAGTAAGAGAGTTGCCAATGTGGTTCATTTGAAAAATGTTTATCATTTAAATGAAATCTAAAAATACATATCCATGAATAAATAAAATTTATAGATAGGAAATATTTTAAAATATTTTCTAACATGTTGCCTAATTCTTCACTAATTTAATGAACTTCTGTTGCCAAAGATCAATCCAAAAATGAAGAGTCTTGCATGCATAAAAAAAAAAGAAAATTTCAGACTTGGAATCATGACACAAGCCACCAAAAGTAAAATTGTTCCAGAAAAAAAAATAAAATAAAATGGACCCAATTCAGCTAGTTCTTTAGTTAGAACAACTGTTATGCTCTGCTAATATCTCATAAATAATGGACTATTCCATTTTGATCATGTGGAAAGATGAAAAAGACATTTGATTTCAGTGGAAAAAAAAAACAAAAAGAAAAGGATCATAGACACAAGAGCATTATTGCCTCATCTAACATCTGTTTCAGTGAAATGGAAAAATTTGTCAATTTCAAATCTTTTCATTTGTACCCTCTTACTTCTTTAAATATTAACCTGCATTCAAACTTATGATTGTTATTGCAATATTTGGCTAAAGTTTTTAAGCTCAAATATTTTGCAATGCAATAGGTATTTTATAGTCAAAGAAATTGCTAAGAGTTTATTGAATCATTAACAATTAGGATTCAATAGAAAATTCAGATATCAAGACCTTGAAATTTTCACAGGTATTACAAATGAAATATTATTCTACAAATTATTCAGTGTAGTATCTTAGTCGTGATTTAATCACTCAGTTCAAGAATCAGTACATTGTTATGTGAATAGCTCATCAGGTGTTCCAAAATAATAATTACAATCTATAAACTATCTTGGATCACTAACCAATTCATTGTCAGTATAAGAATACTCAGGATAAATATCTTGTAAGATATCTCAGCAGCCACTTCCAGGAATCTTTCTGTTTTATCAACAGCTCCACATGCAAACAGAAAAGAAGAAAATACAAATACTTAACATTTTTCTCAGTTATGAAAAGCCCTAACAGCCACTTCTTTTTTCTTTGTAAACACACAGTATTGATGAAAGGTTGCATAAACAGATCCAGAGACATGCAGAAGATAAAAAAAAAAACAATGCAAATAGTTATAAAAATGGAATTATGACAATGACATCATCTTAGAAAATTTTGAAGACAAAAAATAAATCTCTAACTAATTTTCCAAGGTTTTAAGGGTAAGAGGTCAAAATTAATGAAGACTAAAAAAACATCAGACATTTTGTTTTTGTATAAATTTATGTCAAAAACTGAATGTGGCAAATATATATATATATTTTTTTTTTTAAACTCTGCAGCCCCTTAACCATTCTATCACCAGATCAGCTAACTCAATAGTTTCTATTAACTCTTTTTGTTCATTTTGCCAACCTCTTACATTGTTCTTCGTATACAGATTGATTTTTGATTTCCGCTTTGTTTTAGGAAGGAAACAGAAACCCAAACAATTTAATGGCCGTTTCAAAAATATTCAAGTGGAAACTGAATTGACAAACTATGGAATGAACATCTTAACCAGTCATGGGCAAACCAGCTCACAGGCTATATGTGACCTGTTTGGCTTTTTGGACATTTTGTAAAGAAAATAACATTTATTAAAACTATTTTTGTTCTATTCTCACTTGTTCAATCATCCGTAACCACATACATAAACAAAAAAAATGATTAAATACAATGTTTCTTGAATTTTGTTAGCTTTTGTTCAAAATAACATTTTCAGCATTTTAAATCATTGCCAATTTTTAATAAGGAAGATCATATGTGTAAATATCATCTGCTTCAGAAATGAGAAATATCCATATTTTTTTTTCTTCTGGAGATGAAATATATTCTTTCAAAAAATTTTTTTCTCTCTAGTCAAATGAATAAATTGGAAACAAATCACACACAGCAGTAGATGTTAATCATACTGTCATCAGTAATAATATAATAAAATTTCAATTTTTAATTATAGAAAAAAGATGTTAAGAAAAAAAAAAAAAATTTACCGTTTCTAAAGACTTAATGTTTATGCTTGTGGTCTTCTGTAGTGAAAATAAATGAAGGACCTACAATAAAATTTACCTGTAATTTTAATTTTTTAATAGTGCAGACTGTATTATGATGAATGGTATGTCATGTGGCCCACTGCTCAAAAATAAATAAATAAAAAAATATAATGTTACCCATCCCTGGCCTGAGCAATGGACAAATGGTCACGTTTTTGTTTGTTTATAAATCCAAATTAAATGAATCTAAAAAAAAATAAAAAGATATCATTTTCAGGTTTCAATATTCATTTTTCTTCTCAAAGACAAAAAAAAAAAAAAAAAAAAAAATGCAGTAATAATCAAATACCATTTTTTGTTTTTTGTTTTTTTTTTTACTTATATTTGATTAGCTTTTTTAATTTGCCATATTTATTTTTCATTTTCTCTTCAATGTAAAAATTAAAAAAAAAAGAAAAAAAACTTTTAAAATAACAACAATAACATTGAGCAAATGAATTCCCTCCTTCCCCATCTTAAAATCTTCAGAATAAAAAATAAAAAGGAAAAAAGAAATTTAAAACAACAAGGGTATGATCACGGTAGGAAAATTGGAAGGCGAGGGGAGGGGGGGGACATGAGGTGCTGGCATGCACAATGTTCAAAGGTCAAAGTGTTCTGAATCCTGCTGCCACATTCTCTCAATGATTGGCTCAAATTCCTCAGAGAATCGATCCAAAAATGACTTGATCACTCCAGATGCATTGGCAGTGTAAGTTTGAAGAGAAACATGTCCATCTGAAAATAGAAAAAAAAAAAAAAAATGGGTATCAGATAAAAAGAAAAAGAGTATGTTCTTTATTCATCTGTCATTTTCATTTGACAGACTGCATTTCCATTAAGTTTAGGCCTTCAAAACAAGACCTTAAGTTCTTTTGTCTTGTTTTTTAATCGAATTTACCCCAAACAAAGCAGTAAAGCCACTTAAGACAAAAGGGGTTACTCACTGGGTGTGAAAGAATTAGAAAACAGGAAAAGGAACAAAAATAATAGAAAAGTAATCAAAATTTTTGTGTGCTTGTAAGCATGTTCTGCCATATTCTCTGTGTTTAGTATTATTCACTTTGTCATTTTATAGATGGATAGAAATGAAATCATTAGAGTGAATGCAAGATTGAATGGATTTGTTTAATAAATCCTAACCTCTGATATCACAGTTTACATAAACAGCTTGTATTCAAATAATTTCCAATGAATTTCTATCTGCTTTTAGTATTATTCACTTTGTCATTATATATATATATATATATATATATATATATATATATGAAATCAGTAGAGTGAATGAAAGTTTGGATGGATTTGTTTAATAAATCCTACACCTCTCATATCACAGGTTACATAAACAGCTAGTATTCAAATAATTTCCAATGAATTTCTATCTCTGCTTTTAGTATTATTTACTTTGTATAATTTTTCTTTAAATCATTTCACCCAAACAACATAATTATGCCACTAAGATACCCGAGGGTGAGGTGTTTACTGTAAGTGAGAGAGAATGAAAAAATGTTAGTGAAGAGAAAGGGCAATAAAAGAACAGGATCCAGAAAGACAGATAGTGATTGACTTTTCATTTAAATTTTTGAAGATCTACGTTGACAGGAATGTAAAACAAAAGGAAGTTCCACAGGCGAGAGGTTTCAAGAAAAGAAACTATTAGAACAGAACTTATGGTTACATCTATTTCAACAGTAAGATAACCTAGTTGTCAATCTAGTATCACACTTAATGGGCATGTGGCCGAGTGGTTAGAATGTTCGCTTTCTGACCATGAGACCCGGGTTTGGATCTCACCAGGATTACTTTGTCAGGAAGGGTGACTACTTGATGTTATCGGTCTGCAGGAGGCAACCCCAGCATGCAGTACCTTTGGAGAGTGCCTGAAAACTATACCATTGCTTCACTCTAGATAATGCACTCTCTCCCAGAAACTGTAACTAAGATCTGCTCAACATAGTTGCAGTATAAACCACAGGTTGGCTTTGTAGGTATTGAACAAACACAGATGTGCCTGAGCAGGTGTCGGCAATGGGGATTAGCTAACTGCCCAAGTAGACTGGCATCCTTGGATTCAAGTGGCTGTTCCGTTTACACTTTTACCACACTTAAATTCATGGGGCCAAGGCACCAAAGAGTACAATTAAAACAATTGCCATGAAAATATTTATAGAAAAAAAAAAAAGAGTACAATTAGAACAATTGCCATGAAAATATTTATAGAAAAAAGACTACAATTAGAACAATTAAAACAATTGCCATGAAAATATTTATAGAAAAGATATGGAGGAAGCTACATTACAATGGTGGGAAAGTCACTAAAATTAAGATACTAGGTAGTATTTTGTATAATTTCTTTCTTTTTTTTTTTTTTTTTATTTTGCAGGACTTTTTTTAAATTTATGTGCGCATTTATGTGGAGACCTTTTTAGTCACAATCAAAAAGTTTATTTCATTTAACTGATTTGGTTTTTAAAACAAGCTGCTTTGAAGTTAATGTGGAGAAATATTACTATTTATTTGTTCCAGAAATTGTAAAACGATCTTTTATTAAAATAAACAACTAGGAGTAGGGTGCATAAAAAAAAAATCCTCAATCGGGTTGCATCAATAGAAAAAGGTTGTGAACCACTGATCTAGAGTTTCAAGAGCTAGTGAGAACTAAGATTTTTTTTTATTAAAGAAATTAGTTGTTTTTTTGAGTAAACATAACTTTAATTTAACATTTTGTACCATACCCAGCATCATACTATAAAAACCTAACCAGTCTTCCCAAACTAACGCCCGGTCACCCATTTTAATTTAACTATAAATTTCAAGTGCTGCAACAGAGAGATTTCAAGACAAGCATTGATTTTCAGATGCAACATGAAAAAGGAAAGATTAAATGAGTACAAAAAAGAAACAAAGTTCATAATAACATATCTTACCCTCCATGACAGTGTTGTGCTGTGCATACAACTTGCGGGGTAGTTTCCTGTCCAGGACAATATCCCGCAGTGAAAGGAAGTCACTGACATCTGCATAGTGTTCATACATAGCTTTGCCTGCATCATAATCGCCAGTTGACTTGTACACCTAAAAATCAACGAGAGATGTAAAAGAAGCTTCTTTTTTTTTTCTTAATCAAATTCTCCCTAAGCAAGGCTATAAAGCCACTAAGACACAAGGGATTATTGGGTCTGGAAGAATTAGAAAACAGAAACATTATTAAGGAGCAAGAACAATAGAAGACTAAACAGGAAGACAGGAGATAGCGAGTGACATTGCATTTAAATTTCTGAAGATCAAAGTTGACTGGAAAACCTGGAGCTGGAAGTGAATTTCACAAGAATTGCAAAAAAAGAAACTGTTATCATAGTACTTACAGTTACATCCAGCCAATTCAACCGTGAATTGATGAGACCTTGTTGCTAATCTAATACTGCACTTAAATTCATAGTCTAGGTACAATAGTAAAGAGCTCATCCAAACAATTACTATGGAAGTATTTATAGAAAAGGCACTTTTAAAAGTAATTTTACCATGGTGGGAAAGTGACTGAAGCTGAGATGCCAGGTCAGGACCAAGCATCCACAACCAGCAGAGAGTGATTTCTTTTTTAACTGAAACAACAATTTTCTCTTTGGCTGACGAATTTTCAGTTTACGACTTTAAGAATTACAACACACATGTTCTCCAGTTTAAACCCTTTTCTCTTTAAGTCATTTAACAGATCAGTCACTGGATCTGAAATATGACACGAGGCCTTTAATTACATGGAAATTTTTCATATTATCAACAGGCCATTTTTTAAAATTATCAAATTATAGAACCTTATAAATTAAAAAGGCTACCACACTTTTCTATAAATAAAATCTTTTGCTTAGACTCACTAAAGATTCTGGTCCTATTTCGTATGGGATCCAGACTTTCAGAGGCTGTGGGCATTCTGTTAAATATCTTCTATCTTGGCCCTTCATAGTTGGGATTGGATTGTTTTTTTTTAAATATTCAGATTCAAAAGACAATCCTTCCAGACAGCACTTCTTTCATTGCATTATGTAGGAAATAGTCAAGATCAATCGTTGGTGCTCAAGATGTCCTTATAGAAAAGTGCCAATGCAGCTACAAATCCTCTGTATGGATGGGATTCTCACTTTAAACATGGTCCTGTGCCATATTCTATTCAAGTGTACCAGGGTAAGGGCAAGTAACAATATTTGTTTTGTACTTATCTGGCAAAACAAATAAACAAGAATAGATCTCCCTTAAAAGCAGTATCTGCTTTTTTTTTTTATTATTTTGCTTATGAGGGTCAGGGACCATAGACAATTGTTATGGTTTTGAATTCAGAAGCATCCTTCTCCTAGACCAGTTTCCCACCAGAGCTAGAGAGTATAACCTGCTATTTAACCTATAGCTGTGGAGGGTGGAAGGAGTAAAGATAGATTCATACCATTCGCAAAGGTATTCATGCATAAGTAAATATACTGAACTCAACTCTTCAATTTCTTAGTCCAAGCCAATATCCAGTACACCCTCTTGCATTATTTTGTGCAACATGTTAACCAAAAAAATACCAAAATCTATTAATGGATATTTAAAAAGTAGTTTATCTACCTCTGGTTAAAAGCATTGTTTCATAAGAGTTATGAAAAATGATATAACTAAGCAAATAAAGTGCTCATGTTTTGCCTTGTGTCACAGTAGGCTAAATTAAATAAATATCAAGAACAAACCATGCTTCACAATTGCTGTATTTTCAAGCAATAAATCTTGAATATAAAATGGTAGCCAAACCATAAATGGGAGGATCTAAAGGAATATTTCCTGTTTCAAAAAGGATATTATAATGATCACAATCCCATAACCCATTAAGAACATAGGACTAACATAGCCGTAACATCAGTGGGTGTATCTAGAGCAAGAGAAAGACCCTATCTCTCTCTCTCTCTCTTCAGGTTGGATTTAAATACAGAGATGCTTTTCTCCTTGTCTGGTTGCCCTATCAAAGCTCCATGATTTATACTCTATTATCAAAACTCTATTATTTATGAGGGTTTGAGTTCATAATTTTCCTTCTCCTAGACTAGCTTCCACCCAAGGCAAGAAAGCCCAGTCTGCCCTGCTATTAAACTATAGTTGGAGGAAAATAGATTCATGCCTTTTCCAAGAGAATTAATGCAAGGTCTAACAAAAAAAAAAAAAAAAAAAAAAAAATAAATTAAAAAAAATTTTTTTTTTAAATTTTTAAGAAAATAAAGAAATAAACAAAAAAAATTTAAAAAATAAACAAAAAACAAAAACAAAAAAATTTAACAAAAAAAAACATTAACAAAAAAAAAAAACCCTCATTCAGAATTTGACCTGGCATACTGAATCCACTTTCCATGCCAATAACTATTATGATATCCAAAAAATAAATAGGTAAAGAGAAAAACCTCTGCTTACCTGCAACTTTCTAAGGAAATTTCCAATGGCTTGTTTTCCAACTGTTTGAATCTTTGACCGATCAAGCAAGATGGCAAGGTCTGGTTTGCCATCGGCACCTGTCACTGACTGGATTTTGACAAACTCTTTATCACTTTCAAGGAGAACTCGAAGAATCACAAATCGAGCATGCATGTGAGCCTGAAGTTGTAATAAGTTATCAAGTTTATGCAATAGTTTTAAATGTGGATTTTATTACAAAAAAAAAAAATAAATAGTTATTTAACTGTATCTTCTTTAAAAAAAAAAAAAAAAAAAAAAGAGCAAAATGCTGAGAACTTTCTCACACACCTAATAAATGAAAGAAAAAAATGGATTGATTCATAATAAATAATGTGTGTGTGTGGGAGAGAGGGTAATAAGGTTTTTATTAGGGCTTTAAAAACAGACATTTTAAAGGTATACATAAATACACAGACAAATGTATTAAAACAGAGGAGTAGAAACAGTAATAAGCAAAACAAATTGTAATGATAGTGTTGTAGAGTAGAACTTGGCATACTTCCTGCTCTTCCCTACAACTTGACAATAGACTGTTCCTACTTATAAATAGGTAAAAAGTAAAAGAAATGACAAAAAGAAAAAAAAATCTTGTCTAGGTCGGGTTTTTCTTTTCCCATGTCCATATTTATTTTATCCTTGCCTATCCCTTAGCAAGAGAGCTACTTGATTTTGTTTAAAGACAGAATACATCAGCTTCTCTTAATTCCTTTGAGGGTTTGACAGGTACAACTAACATCAGTTATCCTTTTATTTTGTGTATTTGTTTTGACATTTTAGTTTGTTTTTGAGTTCATTCCTTCCTCCCCTCCTCCTCATTACATATCATCGACAAATTTTTACATATAGAATTTTATAATCATTACTTTTTATGTCATGGTGTGTTTTTGTAAGTCCCCAGAGAATATGCGGTATTGTGGTATATGGGCGATTGAATGATGATGGATAAATTCTTTTGGCAGATGTGCAAATTGTAATGAGTGAATGAATCGTGAATCCGATTAGCTTGGTATAAGATAAAAGTGATGACCAGCCTCGCCTCGCCTCGCCCCCCCCATCATTTTTGGCCTTGTGCCACAATTGTATTTTATATACAATAAATCTTGACAAAAAGGGGGTAAAAAAACTGACCTGTCCCCATCTTCTGCTTTCTGGAGAATAATATTCCAAGCTCATCAATCCACTTCGTACCATGTTGAGCCAGTTGATGTAAATGATGTCATCAGCATCCTGACCAGAATGTCCAAATATACTAGGTAAAAAAAAGAAAAAGTAAAAGAAAAATTACTGTTGATTTCAATTCAAGGAATAACTGCTAGAAGCATTCCTTTCCCTGAATTATAGACAGATTGTACAGATGCATGCTGGGATTTTTTTTCCTAACCAATAAAAATAAATCCCTTCTGTTTCATCTGATATATTTTTGTTCTTTCTGGTCTTTAAGTGAAAGTCACATGACTGTATCCTTTTACACATGTTAACAGCATGCTTATTTTCTTACAACATTCTTACTTTATAAATGTCTTGCCTTACTATTGTTGCTTTACCCAGTTTTGTCTTGCTTATATATTGTTGGCTTAGTATTTTTTGGCCCTGTTCTTTTGCCTTTCTTTTCTTATTGTTTATTGGAAAATTTGTCAATTCCGTATTTTAGCATTTCTTTGCCAATTACACTTAACCATGGACAACTACATGACAAGTACAAAAAAAAAAAAAAAAAAAAAAAGCACAAATATGAAGAAATATATATATATATATATATATATATATGTGCATGTTTCATTAAATAATATAGACAACCAGCAAGGGCGGACTATCATTGTGGTTTCGTCTGTGTGTTGTTTGATTACTTGAAATTGTCATCTTTGAAAATGGCTTGTGTTATCCGAAAGCTTAGATCGGATTTAAACATGTATCAATATGGTGATTTCCTTTCGTCTTTCAATGATAATGTGATTAAGCTTATCAGACAATACGAAAGAAACTTACTTAAAATAGACAAAACTTGTCTATATTATTTAATAAAACATGCATTAATGAAAAATTGCTGCCTAAATATATATATATATATATATATATATATATATATAGCATATTGAGTGCTTATGTTAATAAAATAGTGCTCAATATAAGATAACAGCCATAAATTATATATTAATATACATTTTTTTTCCTCACTAGTACAAGCAAGACTTGGAATTTCATGTACAATGAAATCTTCAGGTTCTAAATTGAGACTGACCATTACATAATTTAATTTTTGTCAAAATATTGAAGTTATCACAATATTAAAGCAGTCCATATTTTATAAGGGAATTGTGTGTGGTTTTAACTTTTTATGTATCAGTGTATTTATCTAACTTGAATTAATTATATATATATATATATATATATATATATATATATATAGATAGATAGATATAGTTAGTTACGAAAGCTATTTGGCAATCCATATGGATAATTCCAATTAAGAGGGAATCCAGAGAGCTCAATGTAAAAACAGAGTATATATATATATATATATATATATATATATAATAATGAGAAGCCACGTATACTTTATTAATATGTATATATAGAAAATAACTAAAAGTTGCAAATTAAAAAAAAATAATGTTTTTTTATAAAAGTATTTATTTATATTTGATATTTTGAGGTCAATCTGAGATATCAAATATAAATACTTTCATAAAAAAAACATTATTATTTTTGTAATTTGCAACTTTTAGTTGTTATATATATATATATATATATATATATATATATATATATATATATATATATATATATATTTATTTGGTTGGACTGATGTGAGTTTGTGACCCTGGGTTTCACACTTTTACGATCGTCAGACAAACTGATTAATTTTTTTAAATTTTGGATTTATGTAGATTGCGTGTTATTATGGAAGTGGGAGGAGGGGGAACTTCCATAATAACACCAAATAGGTTTCTCAAGTTCAGTTACTGTTGAACTGGCTTCCTTCCTAATCTTTTCTTTGAAGTAATATGGAACATCAACATATTGATTGTTATTATTTTATCTTTGAATTACATGTGGAATCAATTTTAGTTGTTGCTACTGTTAAAAGTCCTCAGGTGATGTAGTAGTAGTACTTTATTTATGATTCTGTAGTGTAGTACAATTGCTAATTAACAAATTACTGAATATTACTAACAGTTCCTTGCTAAAAATGTTCTCTGTAATGATTATATAATAATAATTTAGGTTACCACATGTAGGTATCACCTTAATTATAGCCAATTAATCATAATGGCTACAGATAGATATACAAGACTGATGGTTTTCTCTGTTGGGAGTTTGGTTAGTGTTGATAGTTAGATTCTTTTCTTTGCATAGAATGTAATGGTTTCATTCATAGAATTACAAGTGGAAAAAAAACAAAAAAGAAAAACCCTTACCTCAGGACTCTGGGTAAAAGGCTTAGATAGAGGCCCACACACTCTGCACGACATTCTTCATAGGTGGAGGCCAATGTAGAGAATTTCCCATCCCACGTTTGATTGTGTTGATACCAAGATTCAATCTGGAATTCAAAATCACAAAAACAAAAATGTTAATGTATTTATTTTTAAAAAAATAAAAAAAATCCTATCCATGATAGCACATATGAAATTTCTATCAATCTCTTTCTGACTATTCTCAATGAATACCAGAGAGAGAGAGAGAGAGAGAGAGAGCAGGAATTTATACAAAAAAAAAAAAAAAAAAACAAAGAAAAATTTTTAGTTCAAAAATTACAAAAACTTATTAAATCTACAAATTTCACTTTTAAATGGTACAATGGCAAGTTTTATTCATTCACAAATTGCTCTGAATAGATCCTATAATAATTACAGTACATTTCACAGATTTGTTTAATAAATCCTAACCTCTGAGATCACAGGTTATATAAACAGCTAGTATTCAAAAAATTTCCAATGAATTTCTATCACTGCTTTTAGTATTATTCACTTTGTCATATATATATATATATATATATATATATATATATATATATAGACTACCCACAATGTACCACTGACCCATATATATATTAATAGTCGAGAAAAAACAGCACTCGTGGCCTGACGATTGCACCTAGCATGAAACAGCCTGTCGCCTCTAAGTGTTGACTTCAATGCTCACTTTTATATTTACACATGCTCTATCTCTGATATTGAGCACTTTATCTCATAAATATAGCACATCTTAAGGGTATATTTCTTCATATATATATATATATATATATATATATGAAATCATTAGAGTGAATGCAAGTTTGGATGGATTTGTTTAATAAATCCTAACCTCTGATATCACAGGTTATATAAACAGCTAGTATTCAAATAATTTCCAATGAATTTCTATCTCTGGCAGCCATATTCAATGCACAGATGAATGGTTAGGCTTATAAATATGCAAGATATCTAACACAACATAGTGAACCAACTTTCCTAGTAGCAGACTTAGCCATTCATCAGACATAGTCATTCTACTTCCTGTCAGTGAAAAACATTAGACCAAAAAGGCACAACGATCAGAGTCCCCTGAACATCCATGCTGATGGAAGGCAGAAAGTGTTCTCTAAGACAATTAATGAAGAGCAGTTTCATTTATGGAGGAGGTGTTAAAATTAGCAAGTCATTTCTTGCCAAAGTTAACAACATATTGTAGGTCAGGTTCGAAATCAGCTACAAATTTGATCTTATCAAACTTAACATTAAGATGAGTGAATAGTTGTGTCATCAGTATAGATACAGAGTCAAGAACTGATAGCATCAGGAAAAGGTCATTGATGAAAAAAGTAAACTTGGGGAGCACCTGCATTAGTGTAAAAAGATCTAGAAAAGTGACTATTCAAGATGATTTTCATATTACGATTTGAGAAAGCATGATTAAAATCAAAAATTCAGTTAGAAACACCATAACCTTTCAGCTTGTAAAGACCAGCATACCAAACAGTCAAAGGCCTTCAAGATATGTAAAGCAACATCCATAGTTTCATTCTTATCTAAAGCTTGACAAAATTCTTTCAGCAATAACTATTAACACATCAGCAGCTGACCTAGAGAAGCAAAAAACATATTGGCTTAAAGAAAACCCTGCAAGGTCAGATGCTTAACCAAGTCAGAGTTGATTAGAGCCTCTAGTACTTTGCTAAAAAAAAATAGAAAACTAATAAGCCATTGCATAGTTAGTATTAAAATCATTTCCACTGACTTTATGTGTTTGTAGTATTTGCTATCATTATATAAATTTTGCAGTTTTCAAAGTAAAATAACTTCATTCACAATATTAAAGTAAAAAAAAAAAAAAAAAAAAAATGCATTGAATTTTGATAAATGTTTTTAGCATTTACTACATCAGTGTAATGTAATTCTAAATTAAGTAAATGTATTTTTTCACCAGGAGGCACGGTGGAGTAATGGATAGCAGCTTAGATTGAGGAATCGAAGAGCCAAGTTCAAATTCCAGTCAAATCCATTACACTCACTTACGTGCTAATACCCTTGGGAAAGGTATGAATCTTCCTCTTTCCCCCCCCAGCTATGGGTAAATAGCAGGACAGACCAGGTTCCATAGCCTTGTATGGTCTATCAGAGAAAAGAAATGGCAACCTACTGTGGGAAAAAATCTGCTTTATCAGTCCTGTATCAAAAGATACATGTATCCTGTATGGCACATAACTGCCTGATGCTTTCACCTATTTGTTTAATAAATACTACCCATGACATTATGGGTTTATCTATATAAAAAAAAAAAGAATCTACCTAGGTACTCACCTGGCTTGAAGTTTCTGTATGTAACACATTTTCAATATCAAAGTTGAAGGATCCATCTTCTTTCTACAAAAAGAAAAAAATAATAACAAAACAATAGAAAAAAAAATACATTTTAAATAATTTATTATTCCCAATTTAAGTGAAATTTAAAGACAATATTTAGGTATTTATACAGTTTTATTCAACTAGATATCTGCCTTTTTATTCCATTCCTTTTCGCCATCTTTGAGGCAGCCTCAGATTCCAAACACACATAAAACCCCACCCACCCGCATCCAAACCCCAAAAAACTGAGTTCTCCCATTAAGAGAATCTTGCAAGGAAACATTACTTGTTTGAATTCAATATTTGATTTTGTAGAAGGCACACACAATGCATTTTCAAACCTGAAAGCCTAGGCCTGACCTTCAGTTGATGAATTAATGGCATAAAAAAGGAAATCATAAAATGTTTTAAATTTTAAAATATGAAAAACATAATATTTAAATAAAATAATGTATAAAAATAAAAAATAAAAATCTACCAGATATATGTCAAGTTGTTAAGCTAATATCCAGCCAGTTGATGAAGGCTACAATTATTTCTACATTGCCTAATTCCATAAGACACTAATCTCAAATGCAGAATACCATCAAATATAAACTGAAATGAAACAGACAATATTTATTTTTAATTTACAAAATGTGTGTTGGGGGAACTATTCTCATTTAAGAAAACTGATTAATTTACCTGGATAAATAATTTCCCACTGCCATGGCCCAAGAGTTCATGAAGGCCAACTTGAACTTCAAATGAAGGAATCTTCAGAGTAGAATACATTTGCTGAAAATAAGGGAAATTAGCTGGTCAGTTTTTGTTTATCATTATAATCACCTTCAAGGATAAACCAACAAAAAATTTCAATCAGTTTAAATATGAAGGTGCTTCACATGCATTTTCAAAATGGATGCTTCTGTCTGAATTTCTGGGATAAGGAATTAGCATTATTTTTAGCAAGGCAATAAAGCCACTAAAATGCACAGAGTAACTGAGTGTGAAAGAATGAGAAAAAGTAAACATGATTAAGGAGAGAGAACAATAAGCAAATAGGAATTAAAACAGAAGATAACGATTGACACTGCATTTAAATTTTTGAAGATCAATGTTAATTGGAAAGCAAGAAGCAGAAAAAGAGTAAGAGTTCTACATGCAAGAAGTGCCAGAAAAGAAACTGTTAGCATAGAATTCATGTTTACATGAGATCTTTGCTGCCAATGTAGTCTTCTTTATGAGCCATGTCCCTTCAGGACATTGGTGATCATGGCTCTCCACAATTTCCCATCTTTTGTAGTTCTTAAATTTAGTCTTTTCATTGTTTCTCCTAAACCCTGTTCCACCATCCATTTACTCAATCTCACTAAGCATGTTATGTATTGTTTTCCTGCCTCCCTCTTGCATTCAGTCTGCCTTGTGAGTATCAGATTTCCCAAGCCCTCTTTCCTCATTGTGTCCTAGTAATTTCAATCATCTCTTCCTGATAAGTATTTTTTTGCTTCCATTTTCAGTAAGATTTCATCATTGCTCACATGTTCAGTCCATGCATCCTTCTGTAGAACCACATTTCTGTTGCTTCAAGTCTATTCTTCATCTTTGAGGAGATGGTGCACTATTCACTGTCATATAAGAAGACAGATATCATGTAACAGTACAGTACTCTTTTTCTAGTAGTGCGCTAAAATTCGTAAAGTCTAGGTACCAAAGGGGGAAAGCTTATTAGAACAATTGCCATGAAAATATTTATAGAAAAGGTACAGGAAAGCTATGTTATAGCAGTGAGGAAGTTAAGTTACATCAATAAAAACATGACTGAAGCTGAGATGCTAGGTCAGGACCAATAACATTGCAGATTCTTCTTTGTATTATATCAAGAATCTCTAAATACATAGCCATTGTGCCTGAGTTGTGGAGTAGTTTTCACAGTGGAAGCTTGTATTTCAATAAGTCGTCCTAAATTAGGTTCGACATACAAAACGTTAGGAACTTGGAAAATAAGAGTTAATGACGCAGCAATCTAGTTGTGATGGTTGGTACTTCAATGTCCGATATCGTCTGACGTGCTCAACACCACTTAGCCGAACTCGATTGCTACTACTACTTATCTGTGGGAGAGTCCATTACAATAGAATAGGTAATATGGCATGACAGCCTGCTGGACTTCATAATGTGATTATCAGTCCAGGTAACCATCAGGGAATTATGACTTGAACTCTTTATTTAATCTGGTGGGGGCGGGGGGGTGGGTAGATTATTCTTATTCCATTGCACATGTCTAAATATATATCATCTATATTCTTTATTTGATACTGCTCAGTTGTTGTTCAACCCATTTACATGGAGTTCAAGTCCACACTGCCTGATTGAAGTTGCAATTGCTATGTCACCAAATCGATGAACCAATACTGAGACAATTTTGAGTGGAGAGTTTGGAGCCTTAAACCTAACCTGCCTGCTGATGAGTCCAAGATGTGCACTCATTTGATAGCTTAGTAATTGCGATTTTTGACGGAATTTTTGAGATGAGGAGTTATCATTATTACACTATTGTCCACATCTTTGTGGTCGTTATCACTGTTGTTATGCCCTCCAGCGTTCTTCGGGTGGATATTGATCTAGGTAACCTATAGAGAATTCTAAATTGAACCCTTTATTTAATCGGAGATGAGTAGACTGTTCTCATTTCATTACTCATGTCTAGAGATATCATCTAGTTCTCATTTTTTTTTTTTTAGTACTGTTCAGTTATTGCTCACCTGTTTCCCCTAAATGCAAGTACACACTGTCCAAGCCAGGGATTGAACTCACAATTACTATGTCACAAAATTCACAAAACAACACTTTAATCCTCTAGGCTATTGTCCAGTAGGGCAACTCTTTTTTTTTTCTTTTTTTTTTCAAAAGGGAAAAATCAGAAAAAAATCTTCAGTGAAAACAGTCAAATATGACAAACAGCAGGAGTACTCATCAGCGAGCAGTCAGACTAGGTTTAAGACTCCAAGTTCTCCAGGTTGTCCTACAGGAGAATAGCCTAGTTGCATTAACAATCTTTTGACAATAAAAACTCATAGAGAAAACTGAGAACTGCCAATTTGTGAAAGACTCCATTGGAGATGCTTCCCTGATCACTGCAATCTTAACCCCTTCAAGTCCATGGTCAACTGTTATCTATCCTATATATTTTCATAATCTGCACTTACTTCCTCCTCATACATACATACATACAACCTTACTCAATAACCCTCTACTTTAAATGGCTCTTGCATCTTGTATTGGGTGAACATTTAGTAAAAAATAAATAAATAAAAATGTGTACCTTGTCTTCTTCCCTTAAGAAGGTAGCCTTCTGATCTTGGTAACCAGCAGAAATAACGTTTCCCAGGGAGACATTTTTGAAACCTTCATTTTGCCGAATGTCATCATCTTCCAATCAAAAAGGAAAACAAAAGAATGAAAAAGAACTATATCTGAGGGGGTGCTGAAAGTTATTGATCCAACCTACTTCTTAAAATCTGGCAAGTTTTTTTTTTCGTTTTTTTAATTTTTGCAAGGCCTTATTCAAATCAAAAACTTTTCAGCAATCCCTAACACATGAAAAATAATACAGATAAAAGAAAAAACAAAATAATTCTGGATATCATGCTTAGGATTTCTTAGTCGACATTTTGTAATAATTTTCCTAATCACATGATTCATGAACAAAATTATTTTTACAAACAATCAGGGTAACACAAATGATAAACTTGATTAAAACTACAATAAAAAATACTATTATTTCTTATTCTTTACCAGATGCACTCCCAATTACATAAAGGATAACAATTCAAAACTGTCAACCTTGTAATTACAAATAAGACCTACCAAAACAATTTGCAAAAAACAATGTTGTATACCAATTTTCTTGTCTTCTAGAAAGCTCTGCCTCTGTTTATGATTATATACACACACATTATATATAAAATTAACATTATATATATATATATATATATATATATATATATATATATAATATATATATATATATATATATAAAATTAACATATATTCATTACACTATTTACATTGTTCAGACTGTTGTCCTCATCTTTATTGTCATATTCACAACATTTCGGCAGTTGTACACTCCAGCCTTCTTCAGGTCATATTTGTTGGAATTTTGGACCAAACTCTTTATTGAGTCAGTAGGATAGATTGTTCTAATTCCACATAACCCCATGGACTAAATAAAGGCTTTGGTTCAAAATTCTAATAGATATAACCTGAAGAAGGCTGGCATGCAAAATGGCTGAAACATCATGAATGTGACAAAGATGAGGACAACAGTATGAACAATGTAAATAGTGTGAATAGTTACAATACCCCATCTCAGAAATATAGAAAGATATATTCATTAAATCAAACACTTCTGTTGATAAAACTGACCTTATCCCTGTCGTCTTTTGAAAAATCCGTAGCAACCCTGCTAAATTGACAAATTTGATATTTCTCTGTCACAAAAAAAAAAAAAAAAAAAAGGTCTGCCTAGATTAAAGGGAAGCAACCCATTATGAAGGAAAGCTGTTTCAATCTAAGTGCTGTATTAAAAAAGAACCCTTAAACCTGTAAAGTCATTTACCACATAACACTAGATTCTCTTTTATAGAGAGAGTACGTGAACCAACATTCATTTTAAAATCTAATAAAAATGCCATACTTCTGAATTTCCAATCTTCTCTACTTGAAAATTTTAGCAACTTCCTTCACAAGATGCCACCAGAAAAAGGAACTATGAAATTCACCAAAATCTCAATAGATATTCTCTTTCTACTTTATAGAACATATTTGAATATGAGGATACAAATACTCAAAACTTCTACAGAATGCAAGAACACATGCCAAATTTTCTTCATCTACTTACCATATGAAAAGATCTCATAAATAGGACTTTTACGACGTGGAAATTTGTTTTCTAAATTTTTTTTATATTACTATAAAATTGTCTCCTTATCACCATTTCAAGGATGCTTCTGATTAAGCTACGTTTGAAAGAAATAGAAAATTCAATGATTATGCAAGTATTAACTTATCTAATCAAAGCAATCCTTGAATGTCATTCACAGGGCTATGAACAAATGAAAAAAAGTACCATATTGCCTTTGGCAAAATCAGATTGAAGTTTACAAATTTAAACTATATTGAAAATCAAGTAAAAAGGGATTGTCTATGACCCCAAAGCAAGTATTATTGACAGAATAGGGCTATTTAGTGTATATAGGTTGAGAAACCTTTATCCCAAATTCTTGGGACCAGTTTTCAGATTTTGGAATACAGGTTATTTTTATTATAGCATCTATAAAATGGGGTAGTTTAGGAATGGAACCCAAGCATAAACACAATATCACTTTACATTTCATAACACAGCTTATACATATACCTTGAAAGTAGTTTTATATAAAATTTAATAAATTTTGTGTGCATACAGATACAGGTAATGATAGTATTCATATAATGCTCACACAGATTTTTAAATGGTGAAATTAAGATTTCATTTAAAAATGTTTTGTACTTTGTGTACCTGAACAAAAAATGTGATCACTACTTACAAAAAATATATAAATGCAGGACTCTGATATTTTGAATATCTTTACTGAGCACAAATCACCTGGTAAGTAAACCACAAACAAAAGTGTTGCTGTGATAAATGTTAACAAAATATCAATGCCAACATGGGCTACGTAGCCAAGATTTATGAAATTTTCCATTCATGGTAAGTCATTGCATCACCTGAAAAACTTTCAGATAAAAGGTACTCAACCTGTAAGGCATTGCTAATGATTTTATTACTAATCTGCATTGAAAAATCAGGATTGATTTTTTTTTTTTTTTTTTTGGTGGGGAGTTGCAACTTATCAAAATTTTGGGATTATTTAAAGCCAAAACATATTTTGGATTGTAAGAAGTCCTTTTTTTTTTTTTTTTTGCAAGGGAATATTGCATTAACAAATTTTGGAGATAATGATTTTTCCAGATACAAGTCCTACTATTTAACCTAGGAGGAGATGGATTCATGCCTTTCCAAAGGGTATCCATGCATAAGTCAACTGAACAAACCCAACTGGGATTTGAACATGGCTCTCCAATTTTCCATTCAAAGTTGCTACCACCAATACATCCTTCAAAAATCAAGACTTCAAGGATAAATGCAAATGTTACTGAAAGAATAGGGTTATTATATAATATAAATGCCAGTAGTGTTCAGTGTTCATTACATTCATGCAAATACTCTTGCAAAAGGTAGGAATCTATCTCTTCTCACCTCTCACAGCTATGGGTTAAATAGTAGATCTTGTGTCTGGAAAAATCATTGTCATCTCTAATCTTTAATGCAATATTTACTTAAAATAATATTGTTACAATCTAAATTGTTTCAGCTTAAAATAACCCACAAAAGGTTGATAAACCATCAAAAACAAATGGTATTTTCCAAAACTCATTCCCCCTTTAGTATCAGCCCAAGATTTATGCCATTGTCAATTTTAATGAGAGGGTTCTGCACTCCTTTATTATTCCCCCACCTTGACCTGAATTTCAGGACATCATGGGAACATTAGCCTCACTAAACTAACTACAAGTAGTAGAAGCAGCTGTTAAGCACAGTAACCACACACACACACACATTAATGAAATATACAATTTTAATGCTTCAAACTTAACATATAATCTACCAATTTGGTTTGGTTTGTTTTACAGCATATCAACCTCAATGAGTTATTTAATGCCAACAAGATTTTTATTGCTGGTAATATTTTTTTTCAAAAAAATATATTGTTGATAATATTTTTTCAAAAAATGTATTGCTGATAATAAAACCTATTTTTATACTTTCATAGTGTTTTGACCCCTTTTGTGGGGTGTAACTATTTGCCCATAGCTCGGACCCTGACAGGTGCTACCACCCCAAGTCAGGGTGGACCTGGGAACACCAGTAATTAATAGGTGATTCCACACTCCTCAAAACCCCTATTCAAAGGCCTTGCTGTTGGACATAGTTTATTGTCATACCCAGGACAGTTCATGAATTTTAATAGAAATTACAAGAAAATAAAGTTCTATCTTCTTTCTTTCACAATGTGTTATTTGATCACAATGTGTTATTTGATCATGTCCTTCATCAGCGTTTTAACTTATGTTCACCTTATATTGGAAGAAACACCATATAGTGTAGTATTCTTGTAGACTGCACAGCCACAAACAAATTTCACAGTGAAGTAAAGCTCAATAATCTTTACACAGGAAAGCATATCTTTTGAAGCTTTTATCTGCTAACTTAATTTTTTTGTCTGAAATGTAAACAAAGTCATTTCTGAAGAATGAATGAATTTTTACTTCTAATTCAACATCATTTATCATCAACTCTTTTATGGATACACATCTGTGTAGAATTTTTTTTTTTTTTAAACACGTGTCTCCCAGTTATTTTAAAAACATTAATTACTAATTTTGACCAAGATTTCTTCTATCAATTGCTTTTTAGTCAGGTTCTAGGTCAAGCCAGTGTTAAATGTAAAAGAAAAAACCAGAATAACTTACAATTTGGAATGTTGATGCCAGCAGGAATGCCGCTTCCACCAAAGGTAAGAACATCCAGAGAAGTGAAATCCGGTCTGAGAAACTCATCCTTTTCATAAGCAGGGGGCCATGGCAAATATGGCAACAAGTCAGGGGCATTATCAACAAGTCTGGCAAATTTGGCAGACATTTCTTTGTTGACAACTGCTACAAAGCCTAGAAAATAAATAGATATCCTCTGTTTTAAGAAAGTTCAGTTTATGACCCTTTAAGGCCTGCAACATAACATGTCTTCCATGTTATCTAAAATTATATCTAAGCAAAAAAAAAAAAAAAAAAAAAAAGCAATCACTATTAAAGCCACCTTCTGAAAAATGTCTTGTCAAGACTCTCTAGATACATAGCAGAAGCACTAGACCAGATGTGGCAGCAATATCCATATATGGATGAATGGTAAGCTTATAAAGGTGCAAGATGGATTCTGGTGAGAAAAATTATCTAATATGACATCATGAACCAATTTTCCTAGCAGCAGGTGAAGCAATTGATTCAACATAATCATTCCACTTTAAGACAGTAGAAAATCTGCATGTTCAATCCTTGAGGTGTTCAATCCTTGGGCTGTTTTATACTCACACTGGAGTATTTGTAACCTCAAGGTCTTCTTCATGCATCCGTTAATGTACTATAACAATATGATTTTTCTCGCACATCTTTAGAAGATAAGGAGATAAATTCCTTCCTTTTAAGTCCACTCAGCTATCTGAGTTTCATAGAAATTTCATCTCCAATCTATCTTTGAGTAAAGAGTCACCGTTTTCAGGATTCATGTCTCCAGTTTGCCTTTGAATTAAGCAACAAAAATTTTATCAATGATTTTAGATAGACATAAAAGTAATCCTCTGAAGATCTGACCACCCATGTAGCTTCAGGGTAGTCTCAAACCTTCCAGAACACAAGTGGATGGAGGGGTAGGTCCCGGGATGATCCATATAAGCAGAGAGAGGTAGGAAGTCAAAAGAAAGGGGTCCAGCTGTGAGAGAAGTAGGTAGGTTACCAGAGGAGCTGCCCAGCAGCCAGTGGCAAAAGGAGCGGTAGTGAGGAATCAGGAGTCACCGAGCCCAGAGGTAAGGAAGGGGACCAGCAGAAGTTAGGGAGGTAGCAGTTCAGCCAAAGGAAAAGATAGCTGGCTAAGTTAGAAATTGTATTGGTGTAAACTCCCAACCAATGTCTTAAAAAAATTCATCATCATTATTATTTGCTGAAAGCAATCACGGCCAAGGAGATGAATGTGTTCACATAGAAAGTTGGGTGTATATGCAAATGCACTCAAACTTGGATGTCATCACAGGTGCAGTGAACAACGGATGATCGAAGAACATTGTCACAATTTCGCCACAAATGGTGTCACAGTACACTTTTGAAAATTTTAACCAACCCCCCCCCCTTTTTTTTTTTCAAGGGTAGGAGTGTACATTATTCTCATTTCACTTTCCATGCTTAGGGGGAGATAACTCTTATCAATTTTACGGTCTGTTTTCCATAGTGTCTCATCTGTCTCTTCTTGTGAGCCAAAGTCTGTGATAACTCAGCCTTCTTTGGGGCAAGACTTTTGATAAGTCTTGAGACTTCCTGGGCTGTGATAAAAATATTGCCAAGATGATGTGCTGTGAGATGGGGTAAGTCAGGAAGGGGTGGCCTTTGTCATATAAAACAAACACCTGAAAAAGGCTGCAGGATACAATAGATAGACAAATAATAGAAACAGTAAATTTAAAAAAAAACATAATTGTACTTGTTGCTCCCTTCGTTAATTCATACAACTATTACCCCCTACCAATACCGCATAAATAATGGACTATTCTATTTTGGTCACATAAGACGACAAAAGACATATCAAAGATACTATTTCATTTCGGTAAGAAGATGGAAAAAAAGGGGGGGAGAGATAGAAATGTTTAAAGTCTCTTTCAGTGAAATGGAAAAAGTCATAAATTTCAAATCTTTTCAATTGTACCCCCTTACTTCTTAAAATAACAACCAGCATTCATCTTTATGATTTTTATTGCAATATTTTGTTAAAGTTGTTAAGTTACATTATTTAACGACGTCTAAGAGAAATCTCTACGGCTATTTTATTGTCACAAAACTCACCATGAGCTTATTCAATCCTTAACTGAAGAATTAAGATCCATCAGAATATTCATATAGGAAAACCATGTAATTTTCATGAGTTAACACTAGTAAATATATAAATAAAATAAAAAATACCTTCAAATTCTCCCCGGACTCCATAAGGATCTCTGTAGGATTCAATGAAGCCAATGTACCTGGGGCAAAAAAAAAATATTTTAAAATTTATCACTTCACATTACAACAGGCACATGTGTGATGCAATGGGACTTGGCCAGGAATTAGAACAAAAACAACAGTAGTGAATGATTTTATCTAGGCCTAAAGTGAAATAGTTCTTTTATTTTTTTTTTTTTTTGATTCAAGCCATGAATATTGTACTTCAGTATTAAACAGACTGATGCTGCTGGGTGATGACCTCAATGTTCATTTGTGTGTGTGTGTGTGTGTGTGTGTATTGCTGACACCCCCTGAAGAGTGGATGGACAAGTCTGTCTGCAAAACTCTGGAGACTGGATACTAAAGGTAACATCAATCAGCCAAGTGACATACATTTACTCACATTAATCATATATATCAGAGATTAAAACAAAAACATGTTAAAAATCGCTACACAATAGCTATTACGTTTCAATACTACAAATGTGCCTCCTTGGGTGATGGTAAATTACTGTTGAGTGAATGATTAATTTCAAAAGCAGAATACTTTTTTTGAAAGGGAATGAGAGAAAAAGACAAAAGAAAATAAAAAACAATTAAAATGAGGCATGTGTGTTTACCATGATTAACCAATCAAATATGAGACCTATACTAATATCTAAACTAATTGAAAAAAATTTTTTTTTATATAGGTCATGATATGAAGTTGTCTACATAGAATCCTAGACAATTTCGTTTGCAACTAATACAAATAATTACATTATTTCATAAAATATAGAGATGTATATCATTCAACTTTCAGTTGGGGGAAAGGAGTAGGGAGATAATTTAGCAACTTCCTACATAGAATTTTGTAGTTAATAATTAAAAGGCTTTTTTAAGAAAACGGTAAGAAAAAAAAAATCATAAATTCAAACCTACTTTGGTAAATTAATATGCAACTATTAAGTAAAGACCATCCATATAAGATGTTAATACTAACTAGACATCAATACATAGCTATATTAAATCTAAATAAATTTTATACAATAGAATAATAAACCATATCAGGTGCACCACAGCACATCTACCAAATATTGCTGTAAGTATTATCAAATTCGAAGTTTAACCATATTGTAAGGTAAAAGGTAAACTATGCCTACACTTTACAGTTAGTTCACTTCTTTGGTTTAATAAGGAGGCTTTATCAATAAATTTGATAAATTCTATTTTCTCATGTAAGCATAAGAAACAAGGTTCATTTAAAGATCTACACATTCTAGCTTTTTTTTTTTTTTAAATACTTTCCATTTTATTGTAGGAGTTTTATTAACTTCTTTTAAATTCAAAATACTGTTGAAAAAGTTTATATTGAGAGTACTAAGAATTCTTTTAAGACTAGATGGTACCAACATATGTTATCCTTCACCAATAGTAATTATGAAAAATAGTACTACTCAATTTAAACTGTAAATTGTAGGCATAGTTTACCTTTTACCTTACATTATGGTCAGACTTCGAATTTGATAATACTTTTTCTTACAGTAATAATTGGTAGATGTACTGTGATGGACCTTATATGGTTTACTATTGTGTAAAATTTATTTAGATTTAATATAGCGCTGTATTGATGTCTAGTTTGTATTATTAATATCTTATATTGATGGTCTTTATTTAATGGTTGAATATTAATTTACCAAAGTAGTTTTGAATTATGATCCTACTTTTACTGCTTTCTTAAAGAAGCCTTTTAATTATCAACTACAAAATTCTATGTAGGAAGATGACTGAGCATATAGCTAATTAACATTATGCTTAATTTCTCCCTACCTGTTTCCCCTTAACTTCCTGTTAAGTTGAACATCATACTTCTTTATATTTTATGAAATAATGTAATCATTTGTATCAGCTGCTAATGAAATTGTCTAGGAATTTATATAGACATCATGTCATGATCTATATAACAAATTTTTTCAGTTGGTTTAGATTTTAGCATAGGTCTCAGATTTGATTGGTTAATCCCGGTAAACCCACAAGACTCATTTTCATTCTGTTTCTTTTGTCTTCTCTTTCTTTTTCAAAAAAAGAGGAAATATTCTGCTTTTGAAATTAATCATTCACTCACCAATAATTTATCACCCGACGAGACACATTTGTAGTGTTGAAACACAGTTGCTATTGTGTCAGTCAGGTGAGTGCCATGCGTGATAGATGCTTAAGCAATCAGTATCTTCCGATACATGACTGATGAGGCAGGTTTTTTTTTCCCCGCAGCAGGTTGCCATTTCTTTATGCAATAGACCAGTTGCCATCCAAGGCTATAGAACTTAGTCTGTCCTGCTATTTAGCCATAGCTGAGGGGGAGAAGAGGATTCATACCTTTCCCAAAGGTATTAGCACATAAGTGAATGTAATTGATTCGACTAGAATTTGAACTCGGCTCTCCAATTCCTCAATCCAAGTTGCTACCCATTACTCCACTGTGCCTCCTGACTGCTATTGTGTAGCAATTTTTAACAGGTTTTTGTTTTAATCTTCAATAATAAATAATACTTAGCTCTACTCTATATTGAGCCCTCTTTTAAATTAAATGATATGTACAGTGGAATTATACTCAATTTGTTCTTATCTTGAGATTATATGTTTTATGGTATATGCTATATTTATGGTTATGTATACAATATTTATGGTGTATGCTATATTTTATGGGTTAAAGTGCTGCTTCCATACAGCAAATATTTGCTATCATTGCTGAACAGTCATAGTTGAAATTTATAAAATATTTTTCTTGAAACAGTTCTTCAGGAAATTTGACGTTCATTGTTATCACTCTTTCTAGTATTTATAAGAATTTGTCACCAAACTCACAGACCAAGACTTTAATTCACTAGGCTATTTATCAATCTGTGAATTTGGTTACATAGTAATTGAGAGTTCAATCTGCAGGCCAGATAGTGCAGATTTGGACTCAGTGGAAACACGGCAAGCAAGATATCCCTAGACATGGATAGCAGAACAAGAACAATCTCCTCTCATAGATTAAATAAAGGGTTCAGTTTGAAATTCTCTAAAGGTTACCTGGATAAATAGACACCTGAAAGCTGTTGGAGGGCATTGGCCAAAAATGTTGTGATAATAATAAAGATGAGGATATTAGTCCAAATGGAAATAAGAAATCTAGGTTAAAAATTGAACTAAAAACAAATATAATTAAATTAAATAAGTATAAATAAAATCAATGTATCTCTGAGTTTTTATGTTCACAATCCAGTTGCAATTTTTCTCCAAACGGCCAAAAAACTTTCTACACAAAACACAGAGGATGTGAATTAGGTATAAAAGTTCTATCAAGATACTTACATTTCAACAACTGGTGAGATGTTTCGAATCCATAATCTTGAGCCTTCCTTGTGAGAGTGAATAGAGCCCGTTTTGAAGCTTTTGATGTACTCATCAAGCATATTTGTTTCAACATCTCTTGCAACAAAATTCTGCAGACAAAAAAAAAAAAATAAAATCTGAAAACTGATTTTTTTTTTTTTTTTAATAAAAAAAATTTATAGGAAACAAAAAAATTCTTGATATTCTTTCATTTGTTCAATATCATACAAAATTTTACACAAAAATCGATTGCTAGGTTTGCGGCTAGTTAAGCTGGTTCACTGTGTCAGGTCAGACAATTTTTCTCATCAGAATCTATCTTACATATTTAAGTCTACCATTTATCCTTGCTTTGAATATTGCTGCCATATTTAGTCTGGTGCTTCTGCTATAAATTTAAAAATTCTTGATAAAATCCAAAGAAAAATCTGCAAAGGTATTGGTGCTGACTCGGCATCTCGGCTTCAGTCACTTTCCCACTGCTGTAACATAAGCTTCCCTGTGCTTTTTCTATAAATATTTTCATGGTAATTTTTCTGATGAACTTTCCTTTAGGGTAGCTAGGCTTTATGAATTTAAGCACAGTACTAGATTGGTAGCAAGGTTTCATCATTTTACAGTTGAAATGTCTAGATGAAACGAAGTTCAATGCGAGCAGTTTCTTCTACTGAACTTCTTGCTTGTGGAACTCTTCTGGCTTCTTACTTCCCTGTCAACTAACTTTGATCTTCAAACATTTAAATGCAATGTCAATCATTATCTTCTGCCTTCTCAATACTTGTTCTTTTTAAAGTGAAGAAAATAAACAAAAAAGTGAAGAAAATAAACAAAAAAGTGAAGAAAATAAACAAAAAAGTGAAGAAAATAAACAAAAAAGTGAAGAAAATAAACAAAAAAGTGAAGAAAATAAACAAAAAACAAAAGAAAAAAATAAACAAAAAAGTGAAGAAAAAAATAAAATAAAAAAAAAGTGAAGAAAATAAACAAAAAAGTGAAGAAAATAAACAAAAAAGTGAAGAAAATAAACAAAAAAGTGAAGAAAATAAACAAAAAAGTGAAGAAAATAAACAAAAAAGTGAAGAAAATAAACAAAAAAGTGAAGAAAGAAAAAAAATCAAAAAGTGAAGAACAGTGAAAAAAAAGGAAGAAAAAACAAGTGAAGAACATTGAAGAAAAAATAAAAAAGTGAACAGAAAAATCAAAATGTAAAGAACAGTGAAAAAAGGAAAGAAAAAACAAAAAAGTGAATAGTGAAAAAAAAAAGTGATGAAAAAAAACAAAAGAAAAAAACAAAAGTGAACAGTGACGGAAAAACAGAAAAGGTGAAAAAACAGAGAAGGTGAAGTAAAAACAGAAAAAGTGAACAGAAAAGGTGAAAGAAAAAACAGAAACAGTGAAAGAAAAAACAGAAAAGTGGAGAAAAAAACAGAAAAAATGAAGGAAAAAAAAACAAAAGTGAAGAACAAAAAAATGAAAACTGAGAAAGTAAATAATAAATCTATGCAAATACAAATTTTAAAAATAGCTGACCTTAGCATTTTCTAAGCTTTCGACCATAAGACCCATCAGTTCAGCATAATCACCCCGCGTAATTTGAACAAGAAACTCCTCAGAACTATCTTGTGGTGTGAATGTCTCTGTATCAAATGCACAGACATTGCAACCAGGCAAAGCACCAGCTGAAAAAATACAAAAATATAAAAATTGATACACATTTCAAATTTATATTACATTGATTCAATTCCTGTTTCTCAATGTGGTTGTGTAACTGTAACAGCAAAAACGACAGTGTAGTCAGATTTTTTTAGAGCAATACAATTAAATGCTTTAACTTAAATAAAGGAACTTCCAGAATAAAATTCCACTTAAGTACGAGGTCTACATTCACATTTATCATGACAAGAACCATCTAAATTTTGCATGTTTGTTTGCTTCTATAAAAAAAAAATAAAAAATAAAAAATAATTTTATGAAGAAATGATTTTTTAACAAAATAAATGTAACATTGTTTTACAAGTCCCATTAATTTATGCAAAAATGATTAATCTACTCATGAAAAACATTTTCATATTAATTTCATTTTAATACTTGCATTTGGAGTTGTAGGTAAAATCTAGAATACCAAATTTTTTATCAATTAATAATACCAAACTTTTACAGGTTTTACAGTAGGTATTAATGAGTTAATTACAAAAGGAAACTTTTGTAATTGTAAGTATGAATACATTTGAAAATCTTTTAACACAAGATTCCTGCTGATTAGGTATTAGTAGAAATATAAGTAAAGCTCAATTTTAAATGTAGTTAATTTTATTATGGAGTAGTTTCCCCTTATTTATTTGTAAATTATTATCAACTCAACCAATAGTTGCACGATTACCATCTCAGATTTCAATGAAATTTTACTACAATACCTACCCTAGAGAAACTGAAAACCAAAAAATAGAAACTTCATTTAAGCCATAGTTCAAAAGTTATGACCTGTTAAATTTACTTGGATTTTTGTGTCAGGTATCAGTAGCATGATTTGCCAAATTCACCCATAAAACAAGTTGTAATTTTTATTACTATGAAGATTTCAAACCTCAAATATAACTTAGAGGGAGTAATTAAACAAGGTTCCCAAAAGTAGTGGACATTTCAAATAAGACTATATCTTTATTTTTTATTTATTTTTATTTTTTGCTAAGAGGGGTTATTTTTTTAAGTAATTGCTGAGTGTTATTGATATTTTATTCAATATCTAATTTTAGCCATATTAAATGAACAATTGTACTAATTATATATTGTTCACAAATAAGAAATTTCATTGAAATATGAATCTGAAAAGTGAAAATATTGTATCCAATTTTAATCATTTTTTAGGCTATATTATTTTTGTAACAATTTTACAAAATTAGAGATAAATAAATTTAATCTTAATTTTTTTATCAGGGGAAAATAATCAATGAGAGTAATTCAGTAAAATCTGAATCTGGAATTTGAATGTCTGCACTATTTTCCATGTTGTTAAAGAATGCCACAAATCCATGATGGTGGTTCTAGATTTTGACCAACCAGGAATTATTTAATTCTGGTAAACACAATAGTTTAATGTTTTATAAAAGTTAATCTATTAAATGAATATAATCAAGCTGAATTTTTATTTTACTGCACTTAGTTCAGTTTTTATATGAAGCAAAATACTCGGTGAAAAATTTAGTTTTTATATGAAGCAAAATACTCAGTGAAAAATGCATTTTCTCCATTTTTCAAGTTAAAACCAAGATAAACAAACAAGAAATCTCAATTCTATGTATCAGGAAAAATATAGGAAAACCAAAATTTCAGTCAGATATCTTCTCAGGATGCCAAGTGCTGAATTTAGCAAATCATGCTACTGACACAAAAATCCAGTACTCCATAACTCTTGAACTATGGTTCAAATGAAGTTTCTATTTCCAGGTTTTCCATATTTCTGAGGTAGGTATCATACAGAAAATTTCATTGAAATCTGAGATGGTGACCACAGAATCTTTTGGTTAATTTTGGAATGACCCTTTTATATATTCTCTATATTACAAGTAATATATCAATTACATCAAACTTAACAACCACTGATACCAGTCTTTGATCTGATATCCATTAGAATGCTCAGTTACAGAGAGCACCATCACAGCGCAGCAAGGTTAAAAAAATGTAATTGAATTTTCGCTGTTATGATATTTGTGGCTAAGCAATAACTCATCAGATAAGACTGTTGTTTCTCCTACAAAGGAGGTTACAGGTTTGAACAATGCCAGAAGGAACATTTTATTAAGTCTCAAATGTGTAGGCCAATAGAAAAAAAAAAAAAAAAAACCCACAAACATGTGTATCCAGAAAATAATGATGTCTGAATTAGTAGAAAATAATGCTGGTTAAAAAAAATCCATTAGGCAAAAATGGACAAACGTACCTGCAATAAGATACAGTGTCAAAAGAACGTTTTTTTCACCCCCATGACACCACTTTTTTTTTTTTAACTACCGTCACTCTTCGACAATGTTTATTGTTTTAAAAAGCAAGGATTAATATTGGAGCCTAAACATAGGACAATAGTCGATTTACACATTTTTTTTTTTTGTTCTTGAAAATTAAATACTATTAGAATGTTTATTTACAAGAATAATTTTATATTTACAACATTCTAAAAACTAATACAATTAGAACTACTGCAATATTTATCATTTAGCTATATATATATATAAAAAAATAAATTTGAAAACATTTTTTTATTTGTAAATTTATGAACATTTACTAAATTATTAAAATATATAAACTATAAGGAAATCCATATTATTTACCATTTTATAAAGTTTGAATCGATTGGCAATTAGCCAATGTTCTACCAGCCATTCCAATAAATATAAGAAATAGAGTAAATAAATAATCTAATAAAAAAATTGTGTTTATTATTTTGTTGTCAATTTTCAAGAATAAAGAAAATGTAAAAATGTATAAATTCACTTTCATGTTTTTATCCCAATTCTAATCGTAACTTTTTAAAATGATAAACAGTGCCAAAGAGTGTGCCTTGTTAAAAAAAAGTTATTTCATTTGGTGGGGAGGGAATTAGTTTGTTTCAAAAAAAAAAAAAAAAAAAAAAAAAAAAAGGGTTTCAAGAAGATTTGAATAAGAAAAAGTGCACACCTGTCTTTAAATGAGTGAAGGAAAAAAAAATGATATTAAATGAAGAAATTTTAGCTTACATTCTGTGTTGGAAGAGGCAAGACGGATTTCATATTTTATCATCCCTGACTCTGGATCTTTGCGTTTGAACACTCTGGTATTATAGGCTAGCAAATCCTAGGGGAAAAAAAAAAAAAAAAAAAAAATTGTGAATCTCGGCAAATCATAAACAACCTAAGTAACAGATAGTAACGACTGTAGTTACACGCAATTAAAAATTAAAATAAATGACTCATCTAAAGTTAAATTTAAACATCGAGCAGAATGAAAGGTTTAAAAAAAAAAAAAAAAAAATTCCTCATTAAAGGTTTCACTTGAATTTCGATCTTCATCGCAATTGATATCGTCTAACTGTAATCAAAACTTAAGCAGGCCATGTTATTTTGTTCATGTTTTTTTGTTTTTCTTTTTCTAGCACATGTACTATGACATATTTGAAATATTACATAGTTCGGGTTCCATAATGTCTTAAGAGTGATTTTATGCAAATGAAGAATGGTGATTTTAAAAGAAAATAAAAATTGCATGCAAAATAAATGTAAACAAACTACAGAGATCAGTTGTGTATACAAAGAAAGATTATGCCGAATTAAGGTATTGAATAAAGATAAAATAATTTTATTCTTTCTAAATTCTTATAACTTAAGTAAGTATAACACTGAAGGTAAAATGCCAAAGGCCCAAAATCCTTCCACAGGAGCCAGCCTAAAGTCTGCCCAAAAGGTGGCTTCTAGACAATATATGATAAAAATATAGTTTTAAGATATGCCATATCTATGTGTAAAGATATCAGGGAGAGCTAATATGCAAATATAAAATAAAATATAAAGTGGTCATTGATGTCAACAATGAGTTTGAACACAAGCCTGATTATAAAACAGACTGTTGCAAATCAGTGTTAACCTCAGTGTCCACTTATATATCTACCAACATTCTATTAGTGTTGTATAGTTTAATCCATCTTTAAATACAATGGACTATTCTTTTTATTATTATTCCTATATCAATTAAAACACATGAATCTGTAATAATCTTTACTAAAAAAGAAATCTTAATTTCAGGGTAATCTTTATTACAACAGAAACTTAGAACGGATTCCTTAAAAGTATTTCATGTTATGTTTGTCAGTATTGGAGACATACAAGAATTTCTAGCCAGGATAGATATATCAATATTTCATTAATGGATTACACTTGAGAGAAGAGTGCTCAAGCCCTTCCTAACCAGCAGACGTGAAAGATTTGCCGTCAATGCAAACACAAGCAATAGGAGGACATAGAGATAAAATGAGGACTCCCAAAGGAAGTCAAAGGTCAGTAAACTCAGGAAAAGCAAGAAAGAAAATAACAAATCCAGGCAAACTTATTTGTATAATTTGTTGGAATTAGTTGTCAAGCTGGCATATTCTACTTTCGATAACAAAATGTTAAACATAATCACTAAAGATTACTTCATAAAGTAAAGGAGGGTTCATAATGAAATGCAAATAGCTCTGAAATCTTTAGAGATAACTGACTACACAACCAAATTAGTTGGATTTCAAGCCACAAAAAACAAAACAAAAAAAAAGAAAACGTTTTCCCTATATCTTACTTATTATAAAACACAGATTGTGTGTGTGTGTGTGTGTCTGTACGTTTATATATTGGATCGGATTTTCTACATTTTTCAACCGATTTCAACAAAACTTCACAGGACTATGTAAAATTTACCTTGCGGTAGTTCTGACAGCGCCAAAAATTGGAAAAACACAACTGTTTTTGCACAAAATTAATTTGAAAACACGATAAAACACGATTCTGTCGCCAGAATGAAAGGGGGACAACTCATATCGAGTTAAAACTCATTATAAAACCCAGGTTGTTTGTGTGTGTGTTCGTTTATATATGGATCGGATTTCCTACATTTTTCAACCAATTTCAACAAAACTTCATTTTTTTTTTTTTTTTGTCATTGCCCAGGGAAGTAACAGTAAGAGCTAGATTAAGTATCAACCATCATAAAGACTGAAAAATAAAATTGACAAAGATTATTGTTTAAGGTTGACGGACACGCATGTCTTAATTTTTTTTTTTTTTTTTTTTTACGAATTGGTCAAACCCAAACTCAAACAAAAACATTGTTTTCAATTCTTATGAGTCTACCGATTGAATAGAATTTTATTATAAACAATTGTCTTGTAAATGGAACTTTTAAAGCATTCTGAATGTAAAAATAAAGAAAAAAGTGTGCAAGACAATAAGAAACACTACCTGCCAAAAAAAAAGTGAAGTTTTGTTGAAATCAGTTGAAAAATGTAGGAAATCCAATCCCATATATAAACAAACACACACACACAAACAACCTGGGTTTTATAATAAGTTTTAACTCGATATGAGTTGTCCCCCTTTCATTCTCACGACAGCGATGCCTCTTAATCATGTTTTCAAATTGATTTTGTGCAAAAACAATTGTGTTTTTCCAATTTTTGGCGCTGTCAGAACCAATTGGTAATTTTACATAGTCCTGTGAAGTTTTGTTGAAATCAGTTGAAAAATGTAGAAAATCCGATCCAATATATAAACGAACAGATACACACACAACCTGGGTTTTATAATAAGTATGATTACAAAATATTTTTTTTGCCTCATTTCCTATGTATTTTTCATCAGCCACACAACTTCATTTTACAAATCATAGCCCCTATTAACATGTACATTATCAATTCCTGATCACTAACAAGCCCTTTCCTCCTACTTCTATCATACATGTAACAGCCTTAGTGACACTTGCACTGAACCTTAACTATTAACAATCCCTTTCTTCTTGCTTTACAATGCACAACATACAAAATTCTGAAACTCACACTAACAAATATTAAAAAATCCTAGTTTATCACTTAGCGCCATTTTTAAAAGTAATAATTATGATTGTCGTGAGCAAGATACACGACATCATACCCGAAAACGCCCAAGCATTGCATGCGTATGGTGTCGCAGAGCAGTTGAAGGAAGGGAAAATTAGCGGAGTACGCCTATGCATATTTAAAACTATCCCACTCAAACCAATCGGCTGCTTTGTCATGGTCTATAAAATGAGTGTGTCCGAAGGCTTTAGCAGTTGAGGCCGAGAGACTGCCTTGTTCCAGTGGGTCCTTTTTGGCGTGACGGCTACAATAATAGCATGAAATTTTGGGTTTAAGAGTTTATTTGGTAATTGTTTTAACCTTTATCACTGATTTCATTTGCTGTACAAAAAGTTTATCCTGCTACTGAAGGTGACCGATCCCTGAACAATGGCATGTTTGAATTTCATAGTTGTGTTTCTATGGCAACAGAAAACAACTTTCAGTGAAATTAACAATAAGGATTCAGCAATCCTTGAAAAATAATGCACTAGAAAGGGAAGTAGTATTAATAATATTGATGTCGTTTTGTAGAAAAATTATATTTTTAGAATTTTCTTCTTCCCAATTGTTACAGACCATTCTTAAAAAAAAAAAATTAACTATAAAATTGAAATATAGATACAATGTTTTTTTTTGGGTTTTTTTTTACTAGTTGGAGGATTTTTCAGCATACAATAAAAACATTTACACAATTACTTATCTCTTTCTTTTTAATTTTTAAATACGTGTTCAATTTGAATTTTGTAAAGTTTTTCTTCCAAATTTTAAAAGCAATGAGCCTTTTTTTCTTTTATATCTTCATTTTTACTTTCAAAGGGTTGGTTCATGAATTTAAGTATAGCACCTGCAAAGCAGGTTACCCAGGTTCAGACACAGCAGAAAGTGGGTGAGCATAATGGCAAACTATGGGAAGAAATTAAAAAATGAGTTAAAGATATACAAACCTTAGAATTAAGAAACTTTTGCATACGAGAAGCATCTTCAATGCAACAATTGCTGGAATAATATGTAGTTGTTCCCTGAAAAAAAAAACAAAGTTAATCAGCAGATGTAGACATAACATAAAACATCTATTATGTCACCTACCATCCGACTAGTATATTAGTTTATTGGTGTATGTGTTTTGTTTCTTCCAATCAATCCAACCCTACAGTGGTAGTTTAGCCCACCCACAGGGATTTTTTCTTTGCCTATTTTCTTCCCCCACCCCCCATAAAGATGTGGTTATCCACGTTTTTTTTTTTTTTATGAAATTAATTTTTTTTTCTCCCATGATGCTCTAGAGTGAATTATGATCATAGGTTATATAAAGCTTGTCCATCCCTTCTTTCTTTTTGCATTCAAGTCATTTGAAAATCGCATGAATCATGGGTTATGACAAGGGCCACCCTTTCATAGGATTTAACGTTAAGTGTCTTTTGCTCTGTCTAGGCAATCTAGGCTTTGAGCACTTTAATGAGTAACTAAGTTTGCTTCTAGGCCTTTTTGATTTTTCTTTTTTCAGTATTGTTGTTTTTGTTCGAGACTTTATCTGAATAAGTGTTTTAGGTTTTGGTAAGTTATCCATTGGTTCCATCAACATTTTTTTTGCTTTTTATATATATATATATATATATATATATATATATATATAAAAAAAAAATTACGGTAAAGGATAACAATGCACAACTTTGTATAAATACTTATATTAATGAACATATAGTTTTGTAGTACTTGCATCCCTGAAAATGATCTTGGAAAAAGACCGAAACTACTTGGGAAATGAAAATAAAAGAAATTTGAACAGCTATAGCACATTTCTTTCATCCTTTAACATCAATACATGGAAGTTTATTCGGGAATATGAGCGGATTTTGTTAAAAATTAGCAGACATAATGTCTGTAATTTATTCAATAAGACATGGCTAAAAGAGAATTTGCTGCCTAAATACACAAATATATATATTATAAATTAACTGATTTAAAATATGTTTTTTTTCGCTACACAGTTCTAACCATGTTTCAAAAACGGAAGCTAAAAGCTTTGAATTTAATTTTGTAATTAAATTAAAGACATTAGTTCCATTTCATCCTCAAGCAAATTTTGGAGTTAGAACTGAATTTTGAATAGAACTGTGTAGCAAAAAATCCATATTTTAAATCAGTTAATTTATAATATTAATGCTCTGTAAATTTACATTGAGCATTATTTTGTAAAAATAAAAATATCTATAAGATCACCAGATTATATATCTTACTGTTCTTTCTTTTTATTTTTATATATATATATATATATATATATACACACACACACACACACAAAAAAAAAAATTTCTTTTACATTTTCATACCCCAAGCCTCTTGAGGAGGGAGGACACCAAGTTATTCAAAATATGAAACCTATCTTCTAAGATTAATAGTCATTTTTTAACTATTTTTTTTCTTTTTAATTCATTTGCAATTATGTTTGTGTTTTAGGTTGCATAATAAGTCTATAGCTGTTTTTGTGTTTTTCCACAGATTTAGTCCTAACTTCTTGAATTCTCAGTTAGTTCTTTCTAGTATCTTCTTATTTTACCTAGTTCACTTTTGGGTTGAATTTATGAGTGTGTATACTGTTAGTTTTGAAGTTTTCTTTGTGGTCTATATATATATATATATATATATATATATATATTATTTGATAATTAATAGGGATAATTCCAAAGAGGGCACAATGTAAGAACAGACCAAATATAATAATGATGAAAGCTGAGTCCTTGGAAATCCATTGGTAATTATTTATTTTCTGATCCTGTGAAATAAATTATTACCAATGAATTTCTAAGGACTCCACTTTCATCATTATATATATATATATATATATATATATATATATATGTGTGTGTGTGTGTGTGTGTGTGTGTGTTCAAGTTCTCACTGGAACCAATTTCCCAAAATTTGACTACATGACCAAACAATTTTTTTTTTTTTTTTTTTATCGGCTTCTTTCTCAGGCTGAGAACTTTTCAGCATCTCCTTGTTGCCACACACATAAATAAAAACACACACTTTGATATATACCTGATTGCTGAATCCGAGCTGTCTGCAAGTCTGAGACACATTGTAAATTGCATCACCAACATTTCTCCACAAAGTAATTACTTGCTGCCCATTGCTCAAGACGTTGTTTGCACAATGGAGAATGAACTTTTCAAATGTTTCCTGCAAAAATAAATTAATTTTGTTATAGATTTGTTGTAAACAAATTTTTTTTTTTTATAATTTCAGAAAAAAATCTCCCAACAATAGAGAAGAGAAACAGGTGCACACAGCCTCGTGGACTAGCAGGCAGGGAGAGATTAAGTAGTTTATTCTCAGAAACAGTATAAAATGAAGAAAAAAAATCTTATCTGGTTTTCTAACTGACTTGAACCCTGACATCAGAAGGGAATTTACAACCCTTACAGCACTAAAGCAGGTTCAAGTAACATCATTTATATAACAAATTCCAATCCACTTGACAACCTCTATCACTATCCATTCTAATAGATGACAATGCTTCTTTTCTATGTTTAAAATTTCCCCTTCCTCATAATAAATATGTGTGCAAATGAGTGAAAGCAGCTCAGAGGTTGCATAGGTCTGGGAGTTTCATCTCTACATTCTCTCATCTGATCCAATGACAAGGTCTTGTTGATAGAAGATCAGTTGCAGTGAATAGCCATCAGTCTCAGTTTCCATGCAAGGAATGCTCTTCTTGTGCCTCATGACACCTGAGCCTAAAAGAGTGTTACCTATCCTTTGATAGGTTTTATTTTTCATCTTACCAGGTATCTCACCACTTTCCTCATTAGAAAAGCCTGGTAGAGGAGCTGTGCCAGTTTGCAAACACCTGTGCATATGGCAGGTTCCAAGTCTAATAATCATTGAATAAAATTCCCTGATTTCTCTAAAAAAATTATGATTGTTGCACATTGTATAACAGACAAAATATAGCTGAACATATACAGAGCAAAGCTAAAGAAGAACGAGATTAATGAACAAAGAAACATTACAGAACATAAATTTATATACAATTTAACATCTCTACTTCAAGTAGTCAAATTTATTACTTTGACGTTCTAAATTCTGCAATGTCATTGTCAATGTCTCTTAATTCTTTTCTAATGTTATCTTAACTTTAAATGTTTTCCTTCTAAAGCTTTAATTTGTTCATCTACCTGCCTGCTTTCTTTCGCTTACCTATTCTTCAGCCAATACTTTTTCCTGATTACATTTTAAACATTCCTGAAAATAAGATTGGTCATCATCTACCCATATTACTCAATGAAATGAAATTTTTGACCATGGTGTTCTTTACTTCAAGCCAATTCATGTTGTAACCGAGGGTCAGAACTAGAAGGTTCCTTTAAATCTCATTCCACTGGGAGCAATATATTTTAGTTTCTGTTTAGATTTGTGTTAGTTCACTACCAGTGCAATGACAACATTTCAAATAAACCTCTACCTCCTGTCCTCAGTTGCATCTGGAGTTGACCCGAAGTATAGAACACCATGGTTTCAGCAAAAGTCTTTTACTAGCATGAAATAAATTCAGGATTAAGACTTCAAACAATCCATTCAGAATTAAAAGAATTAGAAGTTTTACCAATCCTAGAAAAGAAATATATACCATAGAGATAACAGTTAGGATTTATTTTCAAACAATTGTTAAAGTAAGAAAAATCATAAAATAAACATATCATTGTTGCATAACAATTTGCATTAGAAAATTCCCTAAAAACAGAATTTTTTTTTTCAATTCCCTGTTTCCGAAGTTGGTTATGAACCCTGTAGAATGAGGTTCATAATGTGCCAAAAGAATGTTTAGTGACATATCAATTCCTTATGGGTCATTTAATGCCAAAATTTAATTTTCTTGGAAGCTTTGAAGTAATAAAAATGTTATTCTGCTTTCACAATTGAATACATTGTAGATGATTGTGGTAAAAGAGTGATGTAATGGAATAACCTGTCACCCCCATGAGTAACTACACTATAGGTAGCAACTACCTATAAGTATCGGTAAGTCAATGGACTATGGAGTCGAGCTGAGATTTGTTGAGTACAACTCAGACTTGTGCAAGAACTACCAACCTTCCAATAGTAGCACTCACTACTGAATTGACAATCGTGCGCATAACTGTTACCTTATTTCTTATTGTACTGGTTTTTACAATAAACCTTTACTTATTTATCCACCTTGTTTTTTAAGTATATATTCCTATTAGCACAGAATATAACAAAGAGAAAGTCACTTACCAAGAAAAAGGGCATGTGTGTTCTGCGTGATAAGCTGAAGACAAAATAGCCAAAATAGAAACAAGGCAGTCACAAGTGTTGCCATAAATGCATCTCAGATATGCTAATATTGTGTGTTTTCACCCAGCTGTCAACCAATGAAAAAATTGTTCCATCAATAGAAGCAGTTGGTGTTCTCCAATTGGGAAGTTGTTTATTTTTTCCACCTTGTTCATCAGCTTGCGTGTTGGATTTCTGACCATTTACGTGAATTAGGATTTGTGACATTAGACCTGCGATTCATGATTTCGACATTTCTTTCTGCTCCTGGATTTTCGAGTTTGGACTTGCAATTTGTTTATTTCAATGTGGAATTGATCTGCCATATCAATTTTTGAACAGCTTTTGTGTGTGTATATATATATATATATATATATATATGTTTGTATGGACATAATTACTAGAGTCAGTGATATGTGTGTTTTATGTTTTAGTTATATTTTGGAATACAGTTTGATTTCTTTAAGAAATTGTAGGATATTGAATAGATTAATGTCATGAAAGAGTTCTTTCATATTTGGTTGATTTTGTTTAGTGGCATATCAACACCTCTATGGGTTATTTAATGCTGAAATCTAAATAGTATGAACACTATTGCATGCCTTCAACTACAGATAAAAATGTATTACTGGTCATTTTGCTATAAAAATGTATTTGTATAATAGTGTTTTGTTTTTGTTTGAGAGTTCACTATTTACCCATAGCTGAGGGTCAGGGTGGACCTGGGAACAAGCGCAATTAAGAAGTGGTTCCACACTCCTCAAAACCTCCAATGTCCCAATCAGAGGCCTTGAGACAGATGTAGCTACCAAAAGAATGCTTGCAGTAACTTTATATTGAAAGCATACACAACCCTCAACCAAATCTTCCACCAACCAGCCAATGATCAGCCCACATTGTATTTTGATTTTCAATCTCATCAGTGTGCACCAAAAGTTGGGGAAAGGTGTGCGGCATGCTCACAAGGATGATAAACTCTGCATTGATGAAGAAGGACGCAAACCCTGTTTTCCATAAATATAGATTTTATCCAGAGCTTCACCTGCTCAATTGGGTGGGTAGATAGGTGATACTTTGAACAACTTCTGCTATGTAATGGTCACATCAATGTGTAGAAGAGAAATCTTTCCAGGACAATGCTAAAAAGCTCTGACAGACGCTTCTAACAGCTCAGCTCTTCTCCTTACCAATTCCTTGCTTATCTACCCATCCCAACATGATGGCTGGCAAACAGAAACACTTGAGATCAAGATAAAACTACGTCTTCCCCTTCTATGTGGGTCTTTATAGTATCCCAATATCAAATAATAGTAATATTAGTAATTCAAATTTAGTCTAAGATAATGAGCTGATTTTATTTCTCAAAGAACTAAAGTGTTTTTTTGTTTTGTTTTTTTTTAAGATTCCTCCCAGACATTAAATAAAATTGCTGGAAAGCAAGTACAATTCACAGAAATATGTAGAGAGAAATTTTTACAGATAAATGCTAAAAAGCTCTTAGACAAATGCACTTCTCAAAAGTAGGGAAGTGATCAATTCAGCATGATCAGAATTCTTTTCATCCAGAATCCCAAGATTCTTTCTACAAAGAATAAAAGAATTAATTTCATTTTGGGCTTTTTGTCATTGCTAATAAAGATCTTGATAAAGAAATGACTTATTGTATATGAAATGTGTACAAACACCAGTGGCCAAGAGAGCTCAATTCATAACTGATAGCAACAGTAGCAGCCATCGTTTTGTAATTACCCTTTCTCCAAAGTGCTCAATCAAATGACGAGCGCATATATATGCCATTCTTTATGGTCACCATACCATAATGCACTTGGAGAAAGCATGATTTCACTTCTCCCTGTGCTTTGGTCTATTTGGAAAAGAATACTGGGAAAATGAATTCTACAATATTCTATGCTACAATAGTTGGCCGAGACAATTGGTAGATGAGTAAACACTTGAGCAGACCACACTACTTTACCTGCCAGGTAGCAGCAGTAAGAAACAATTAACCTCATTTTCAAATATGTCAGAGTGTAAAATTAAACTTATTTACTTACTTTTGATAGATTTGGAATGAATTTTCTGTCCCCAAATGATTTGTAATTACCCATGTTGTTATAGAAACCGGCTGCATAGATAAGGATTGCCTGCAACAAAATTAAAAATAAATTAAAACAGTATTAAAACAGAAAATAAAATAAAATCCATATTATGCTTATTTTTTTTTTTTCTTTGCTAGGCTTAAATGTAATTAGCTTATAATCGTTATATATTTTGTTTGCTATTTGGTTTTCAGTTAATGGGAATATTTCTCACCCCTGACTAAGCACTGAGGGGAGAGAAGAGATAAATAATTTTAGCCACTTTTTTTTGTTAATTGCATTTCAAGATTACCATTTTTACAGTAATGGAAATATTTTTTTTTTTTAAATTTAATTTGGCCATTGTCATCACTTTAATTAGATAATTCCAAATTTTTTTTTTTCACCTCTGCTGACTAATTAGCTGTCATGTGAAATCTTAGACAACAGCAATGTTTACTACAAATGCTACAGTAAATAAAATTATAACATTGCCAAGACTAAAATTCTATAAAAATTGTAATATTTTTAAAATTTTCTTCTTTATGTCTGCTTCTAAAAAGGTTGTTTTCAGAACTCAGATTACTTATTTTGTTTTCTTTAGTTGCCAATATATTTTTCTAACTTACAAGTGAATTTTGACAAGGTAGATATAAATTCTTTCCATACAAAACACAACGTTTTAAAGAATTAACAAAAACACTTAACAGAAATATATGGCAAGTTTTTTTTTAGATATGAATTAAAAATGAATAACACACATGAAACATGTTTTTAAAAATTGTTATGCTAAATAAATGTCACCACTTATGTTGTAAATGCTATTTGTTAGTGTAATATATATATATATATATATATATATATATATATAAAAAGGTTCATAGTGAATTCAGAATATGTTAAAATATAAGCAGTTTTGTTCTATTGATTTAAGGCAGGGACACAGACCAAATTTGGCCTCACATGAATTTATTAAAGATTAAGAAATAAACAAACTTGGAAATCATCTTCGGAAAGTCCAATTTTCAGTGCCTCTTCCTTCAAACAGTCAATGGATTGGTTTCGGAATAATTTTTGCAACAAAAGGAAGATTCCTGGTGACTCAGGAGATGTCTGAAAAAGAGAAACAATGATAGAATCTTCAAGCAGGTCCACAGAGTCAAGGATAAAACTACTCTATTTGACAGTGTATATGAAGAAAAAAAAAAAAAAAAAAAAGAAGAAAAAGAAAGAAAGGACAGACAGCGACAGGAAGAGAGCAAGAGAGAACAAACGGAGAAAAGAGATTAGATAAAGAGCAGAGGGGAGAAAGGATGATGGAGAGAGAGAGAACGAGGGGAGAGAGAGAGAGAGAACGAGGGGAGAGAGAGAGAGAGAACGAGGGGAGAGAGAGAGAGAGAACGAGGGGAGAGAGAGAGAGAGAGAGAGAGGGAGAGAGGGGAGAGAGAGAAGAACGAGGGGAGAGAGAGAGAGAAACGAGGGGAGAGAGAGAGAGAACGAGGGGAGAGCGAGGGGGGAGAGAGAGAGAGAGAGAATGGGGAGAGCGAGGGGAGAGAGAGAACGAGGGGAGAGGGGAGAGGAGAGAGAGAACGAGGGGAGAGAGAAGAGGAGAGAGAGAACGAGGGGAGAGCGGAGGAGAGAGAGAACGAGGGGAGAGAAGGAGGAGGAGAACTGGGGAGAAAGGACGAGGGAGGGGGAGAAAGGACGAGGGAGGGGAGAAAGGACGAGGGAGGGGAGAAAGGACGAGGGAGGGGGGAGAAAGGACGAGGGAGGGGAGAAAGGACGAGAGGAGAGAGAGAGAGAGAGAGAGGACGGGGAGAGAGAGAGGACGGGGAGAGAGAGAGGACGGGGAGAGAGAGAGAGGGGGGGGAGAGAGAGAGGACGGGGGGGGGAGAGAGAGGACGGGGAGATAGATAAGGGAGAGAGAGAGGACGGGGAGATAGATAAGGGAGAGAGAGAGGACGGGGAGATAGATAAGGGAGAGAGAGAGGACGGGGAGATAGATAAGGCAGAGAGAGAGGACGGGGAGATAGATAAGGGAGAGGAGACGGGGAGATAGATAAGGGTGTGGGAGAGAGAATGAGAGAAGGAGGAGAGAGAGAAAAAGTGTTTTTCAAAACTTAAAATTTACATGTCCATAGTTTTATTTCATCTATTTTGGACAACTGTGTGAGAGAGGGTGTGTTTTTACGTGCGTCCATACATAAACATGCTGGTATCATAGCAGCTATCAGCTGAAAAATTGGGTCTTGGAAACGGCATTCAAATCCAGTTTCATTCTGTTTCATTCCCTTTGTATTCTAATGACACTAGATAATCATGAGCTAATCTCTAGGTGAAATGGGAGGGAAGACTTGGCTCACTTATCTGTTTGAAAGTTCAGGACAATGTTCTCCCACATTTTTCTCTCACTATCACTATGAACCAGAGAACAAAGTTGTGCAATGCCCTTCTTTTGCTCCTCCTCCTACTACTACTACTACAACAGAAAAATCACTGACCAAAGCATATAAGTTCACCAGCATTGTCACATATTTGACACATGCTAATAGCAAAATATTTTTTTTTATTACCCTGTTTACATAACATTATCTGTTATGACTAATTTTTCAATTTTCTATGTCACAATAGGAACCCAGATACTAAATAGTTGACATGAATACGCTACACACAATTTATATGTTCCTTTTATATAAAACTGTTTATCTGCAATTGTACAAGAGTTCTCGGCACACCCAACTTCACAGAATTTTATGAAATACTGAAACATCAAAATCATAGCTGGAAAAATCTATTCTTATTAAAATCTATTGATAAAGATGATAACATTGCATCATCCCTCAATATTTATTGCCCTCTTGTATAATGCTACACCTGCAGGGTACCCAATGAGGATAAAACTCACTACAATAGTAATGATCTGAAAAACTAGCTTACAAACTAACCATGGCACCATAGTAATTTGAGAAAACCTTGAAAAATCAACATTAACACCAACCCTCTAATGTCATAAGAGAAATCTAAAATAGTGTCAGCCAAGAAACAGATTTGGTTCAAGTATTATCAAGCAGAAGAGAGAGAGGGGAGAAAGGATAAGAGAGAGAGAGAACCGGGGAGAAACAAGGACAAAAGGACGAGAGAGAGAGGGAGAAAGGACGAGAGAGAGAGAGAGAACGGGGGGGGGAGAGAGAACGAGAAAGAGAGAGAGAAAGGACGAGAGAACTAGGACAAGAGAGAAGAGGGGAGAAAGGGAGAGAACGGGGAGAAAGGACAAGAGAGAACGGGGGAGAAAAGGACAAGAGAGAAAAAAGGAGAGAAAGGAGAAAGGAGAGAGAACGGGGGAGAAAGGACAAGAGAGGGAGAAAGGACGAGAGAACGTGGAGAAAGGACAAAGAGAGAAAGAGAGGAGAATGAAGAAAGGACAAGAGAGAGAGAGAGGGAGAAAAGGGACGAGGACAAGAGAGAGAGAGGGGGGAGAAAGGACAAGAAAGAGAGAGAGGGAGAAAGGACAAGAGAGAGAGAGGGAGAAAGGACAAGAGAGAGAGAGGGGAGAAAGGACAAGAGAGAGAGAAAGAGAACGAGAAAGGACAAAAGAGAGAGAACGGGGAGAAAGGACAAGAGAGAGAGGGGAGAAAGGACAAGAGAGAGAGAGGGGGGAGAAAGGACAAGAGAGAGAGAGGGAAAAGAAAGACAAGAGAAAGAGAGAGGGGAGAAAGGACAAGAGAGAGAGAGGGAGAAAGGACAAGAGAGAAGAGAGAGAACGAAAGGGGAGAAAGGACAAGAGAGAGAGAGAGAAACGAGGGGAGAAAGGACAAGAGAGAGAGAAGAGAAAAGGACGAGAGAATGGAGAAAGGACAAGAGAGAGAGAAAGAGAGAGAGAAAAGGGAGAAAGGGGAGAGAAAGGGACAAGAGAGAGAGAGAGAGAGAACGAGGGGAGAAAGGACGAGAGAGAACGAGGGGAGAAAGGACGAGAGAGAACGAGGGGAGAAAGGACGAGAGAGAACGAGGGGAGAAAGGACAAGAGAGAGAGAGAGAGAGAGAACGAGGGGAGAAAGGACATGAGAGAGAGAGAGAGAAAACAGGGAGAAAGGATTAAGAGAGAGAGAACAGAAAAGGACTTAGAGAGAGAGAACCATCCTAACAAGAAAAAAACAATTTGGGATGATTATGTATAATGATTGACATCATCTTTAAATTTATATAGAAATAAAAAAAAAGGAAATAAAAAAGTCTGTATTGAGATATCCTTGAATCTTTTGGGAAAAAATGATTTCATCCTTAACCTGTATAGAAATAAAAAAATTCCAAATGTCTTTTTTGAGATATCATTTTCTTTTTTAATCTTTCATTTGCTTAGTATTTTATACAACATAAATTTTGCATAAGGAACAAAACATCAAAATCAATTTCTTTATTTATTTTATCTAAGTTTGAAAACGGTGACAAAAATCCTAAACACACAAAGTAAATTTAATGTTTCTTATGTCTTTGTTGTTTTATTCCATCTATTTTCGGAGAATCTGTGTGTGAATGCACTTGTGTGTGAAAGTAAATGAGTACATATGCGTGCAAGTGTGTGTGAGTGAGCAGCACACTGGTTATGATAACAGTTAACCCTAGATGTGAACAGATTAAGATTATAATGATTGAGGGAGCATCCTCTTGGGAGTCAGTTCCACAAAGACATTTGTGGGAAGAAGCTGCTTGAAATTTACTTCTCGTCAATCAAATACAAAGGGAATAAGGACGGTTGGCTACAATATGCATGGAAGGTCTTAGCCATGAAGGTTAGAAATGCTGGAACTAACGAATGTAATTCATCTGAACACTTTCCATACGATAGAATAGAAAGAGGCTTGCAACATTTCGTCTGTGGGAAACGGATGATGAGATCAAGTAAGTAAAAACAAAAAAAACAATAATGAATTCTGAATCTTTAGAGAAGAAAGGAAACACTTAAAAGTCTTACCTGTGTAAGAACGATGAGCCCCCCAATCCATGAGGCTCGAGATATGTGATGAGCAAAAGCCTTCTCCCTGTCAGACAAATTATTAAATGCATTTGTACAGTTCAGCAGACAAATGTCATTGTCATTTTGAAGGACATGTTCCCGGTTGGTATCACTCATCTTCAATGGGTCCTTCAAAAACAAAAAAAGAAATAAATAAAAATTATACATTGTATCAATTTTTTTTTTAAATCATTTCATCCCAAACAAGACTATAATGACACTAGTATAAAAGAAGTTACTGAGAATGAAAGAAAAGACTTTCTTGAGAAGAAAGGACAATAAAAGAACAGGTGTCAAGAACAGAAGATGGCAATTTGCATTGCATTTAAATTTTTGAAAAGTTGTAGGTAGCAGGGAAGGGAGTTACACAAGTGAGAAGTGCAAGAAAAGAAACTATTAGAATGGAACATATAAATGCATCTAGGTAGATCAGCAGTAAAATAATGAGACCAAGTTACCAATTTAGTAGCATTGTTTATATTCATGCAGTCAAGGCAGCAACGAGGAAAGCTAATCAGAACAATTTTCATGAAAACATTTGTAGAAAAGACAGAAAGTGACTGAAGTTGAGATACCAGATCAGGATAGATTACCTAACAAAGACTTCTTTGAATTTTGTCAAGAATACCAAGATATGTAGTAGCATACCAAAATATAATAGCATGCTAAGACAAGGCCGGATTAATCTGTAGCAGGGAGCTGTAGCATGTTATTAAGGGGCCCTATATTTTAAAAAAATCTAACTATTAAATCATAAATTATTAACATAATGGTAAAGCAACAGATCTGTACATTATTTACATTATTCGGACTATTGTCCTGATCTTTGTCGTCATATTTACTACAACATTTCGGTCATGTACACTCCGGACTTCTTCAGGTGGTGGGAATGCCGAACTGAACCCTTTATGTCACTCATTGGGGTAAACTTTTCTAGTTCCACTTGCCATGTTTAATGGATGTCAGTTATCAATTGTCTCCTGTTAATTTCCTTTTGAAAGTTCTCCAATGCCTTAGCCAGGTATTGAACTCACACCCTTTGAGCCCTGTCACTGGATCTAACTAACACCTTTATCCACTATGCTATGTGTCCTTGAAGAAGGCCGGAGCATACAACAGCCAAAACGTTGTAGTAAATATGGCGACAAAGATGAGGACAATAGTCAGAATAATGTACATAATACCTCATCTCAGAAATATAGACAGATACTGAAAGGTTGAAACATTGTAATAAATATGGCGACAAAGATGAGGACAATAGTCCGAATAATGTAAATGATGTACATAATAATACCTCATCTCAGAAATATAGGCAAATACTGAAAGGCCGAAACGTTGTAATAAATATGGAGATAAAGATGAGGTCAATGGTCTGAATAATGTAAATAATGTACATAATACCTCATCTCAGAAATATAGACAGATACAACAGATCTGTATAAACCTGCCTGCAATAAGAGTATCAAGAAGAGGGTTTTATTCAGGACACCACTTTTTTTTAACTACCTTGTCTTCAGCAATGTGCTTACAAAAATGGTTAGCAGAAAAGAGTTTAGAAAAGATAAAAAAAGGGGTGGGCAAAATTTATTAAGAGCTACAAAGGACAGGAAATTATGGAGAGCCATGACTGCCAACGTCCAGAAGAGACATAGCACATAGAGGAACTACAAAAATGGTGTTTCAGAAGGACATTTTTATTTTTATTGCCACTGCTGTTACTGTTTATTGTTTATAAAAATCAATATTTAGAATTGTAATAAAACCCAAACACATGAATGTAGATTGAGACATTTTCATTGTTCTTGAAAATTGACAATAAAAATCTTATGATTTTATTAGATTGTTTATTTAGAGAATAATTTTATATTTCCAAGATTATAAAAATATATGAACCAGCAACAATGTTTATCATTTACCATTTTATAAAGAAACAAATATGAATACATATTTTATTCAGAAATTTATAACAATTTACAAAATTAAAACATAAATCAGAAAAAGATTTTTTTTTAATCATAAATTTATAGAAATTCCACTGAACAAGAAAATTTAAATAAGTACATAATTATGAGTAAATTTAATAAATTTTGAAAGTTGATTTTTCTGGGCATTTCTTTCATATTTACTCTTGTTAATTTTCATAAACATTTGAATAAAAAGATTTGTATTTATATTTATTTTGTTATAAAAAATGGTAGATAATAATTATTGCATTGTAGTTGGTTCACATCTTATAATACTGCTTGTCCTTCCCGTAGCACACGTTATCTACTGCCATTACCTCATAAATAATGGACTGTTCTGTTTTGATTGCGTGGAAAGATGGAAAAGACTCTTTGGTTTCAGTGAGAAATGAAAGACGGAAGAAGCAATAACACTCTTGTGTGTTTTACATATGTTTCAGTGAAAGAAAGTTAAGTGTTTATCATCTCCTGCTAATACCTCACAAATAATGGACTATTCCATTTTGATTACATGAGAAGACATGACATATCAAAGACACTACTTGGTTTCAGTGAGAAATGAAAGATGGGAGAGGTGATAACACTTGTGTGTTTAATGTCCATTTCATCGAAATGGAAAAAAATTTCAAATTTTTAATCTTTTCATTTGTACCCGCTTACTTCTTAAAATAAAAAACAACCTTCATATTTATGATTGTTGCCTCAATATTTTGTTAAAGTTGTTAAGCTCAAATATTTAATGATACAATAGGAGAATCTCTACGGATATTTTATTGTCGTAGAACTTACAATGGGCTTACTGAATCATTAAGTTGAGAATTGAGATTCATCAGAAAATCCAAATAGGAAAACCATGAAGTTTTCATGGGTAATTTTAGTCTTTTTACAATTTTGTAAATAGAATTAATCTAAAATATAAACAATCTAAAAACAGTAAAATTTTTGTTATCAAAAAAAAGCAATATATATATATATATATATATATAAATATAGGGAAAAATATTAATCTACGCACAGTTTTTTTACCCTCTTTCACCTTTCCTAACAGAATTACTACTTTCCCAAGCAAACATACGCAAATGTATCAAGAAATCAAAAGAAAATGGTTGAATCCGTAAACACAACAATAAAAACAATATTTCCACACGTGATAGTACTTGATGTAATTTTCAGTTGACAATATGAATATAATACCATTTTCTAAATTCTTCCTGTTGCTAAGGACATTTTGTTTTGTTTTGTTAGTTACTTTGTTTTAATAAACTCATTTTGTTTTTGCCTTGAAAAGTCCACATTGGACAAAATGCGGCGGCTATTATTACAGTTTTCCTATTGTCTATATATATATATATATATATATATATATATAAAATATAAATTTTATTTCATATGTGCAGTACTTCATAGAAAACACTCAATATCAGTGATAGGGCTAACATATTCAGTTGTTTGATATTATGTTTGGTGGTTGGAGAGCCTAATCTCGGACTCTTTATATGAGTGTTCCAGTGTGAACCAAAATTCACACACCCGCACGTATGTATGTCGGTGTGAGAGTGTCACCCCCAAACCAACACAGAGGTAAACTCCCACCACCAAACATAACCAAACACAAACAAGCATAAATAGATCCAACTTTTAAAAAAACAAACCAGCTCATCCGACAATCACAAAGCATTAAACCCAGGGAGTCACAAACTCATATGCACACAACTGAATATATGTGTGCATATTGAGCACTCTGACTGCTGGTCTAGCGTTTATATACATCACGTATATAATTTGTTAAAAGATTCCCTTTCTCTTTAGACGCAGAGTGTCTGACTGATGTGAAAATGGTCGAGTTTCAATCCCAGCCAGAAGCAATCGGATGTTTAGCTGATTTGTTTTTAAAATGTGTGTGTATGTATGTATGTATGTGTATATATATATATATATATATATATATATATATTATTCCAAAGTAGGCCATACTGAGAAATCTTTTTATAAAATTGCAGATAAATAACTTGTTTACTTCGTGTAAGATCTACTGAAAGAGATAAAAATGAAAGGAAAAAAACCATAAATTGTGTGTGTGTGTTACCTATTCACTATATATATCCTGTATATTACTATTGTGAAGTAAAAGAAATTATAGCCAATTCATAACACCTGATCTAGGATAAATATAGTAATAAAAATATTCTTTTATAAAGCATGTATCAGATATGGGACGATACTGGTGAACTCTTTCTGCATAGGTTAGTCATATTTTTTTTTCTATTGTGCTGGTAATAGTAGAGAATACAGGACAGAATTTTCTGTTCTCTGTGTTTATGTTGTTCCTTAAATACAAAATTTATGTTGTATAAAATACTAAGCAAATGAAAGATTAAAAAAGAAAATGATAAAAAAAGACATTTGGAAATTTAGTCACAGGTTAAGGAAACTTTTTGAGAAAGATTCAAGGATATCTCAATACAGACTTTCTTATTTAATTTTTTTTTATTTCTATATAAATTTAAAGATGATGTCAATCATTATACATAATCATCCCAAATTGTTTTTCTTGTTAGGATGGCTAAGTTTCTGCTTGATAATACTTGAATTGAATCTGTTTCTTGGCTGACACTATTTTAGATTTCTCTTATGACATTAGAGGGTTGGTGTTAATGTTGATTTTTCAAGGTTTTCTCAAATTACTATGGTGCCATGGTTAGTTTGTAAGCTAGTTTTTCAGATCATTACTATTGTAGTGAGTTTTATCCTCATTGGGTACCCTGCAGGTGTAGCATTATACAAGAGGGCAATAAATATTGAGGGATGATGCAATGTTCTCATCTTTATCAATAGATTTTAATAAGAATAGATTTTTCCAGCTATAATTTTGAGGTTTCAGTATTTCATAAAATTCTGTGAAGTTGGGTGTGCCGAGAACTCTTGTACAATTGCAGATAAACAGCTTTATATAAAAGGAACATATAAATTGTGTGTAGCGTATTCATGTCAACTATTTAGTATCTGGGTTCCTATTATGACATAGAAAATTGAAAAATTAGTCATAACAGATAATGTTATGTAACCAGGGTAATAAAAAAAATATTTTGCTATTAGCATGTGTCAAATATGTGACAATGCTGGTGAACTTATATGCTTCGGTCAGTGATTTTTCTGTTGTTGTAG